CCTCCATTCTCTCAAAAGTCCAAAAACCCTCTCAACAGTCCCTCACCCCTCTGAATATCTTAAAATTTTTTTTGTGCATATTTCACCACACATTGCCGTCAAACAAACATCTCCCCTGCCTCCAGCCTCCTTCCATTGCAAACATTCAATACCCCTGCTTTTAACCCATACACGTGTTTTGGTACCATTACTTGGTACATTTCCGTTTTTTCCTTCAAAGATAAGCTTCTGTCTCCCCAGATTCTTAATGCACCACCTCCCTTTTTTCCTTGTCCCTCCCCTTTCAGGGAACCATCCCCCCAAAAAGTCCTTTCCCAAAAAAATCTGACAAATGAAAAATTTCTTCAAAAATCAGATACAAAATTTAAAAGCCTTAATTTTCTCAAAATTTTTAATACAAACATTTTTAATTCTTTTTATCTTACGGGAAGAAGAAAAAAAGGGGGAAATTGGATGAAAACCCTTTTTCTATTGCCCAAATGTAATAAACCCTTTCACTCATCCCACCCACTGGAAGAGCACTTTTAACCGATCCCTTGCGAGGATTAGTCTTTAAATTTTACCTTTCATTTTGGCAAAATTTTAAAGTCATTTCTTGCCCCCGTTTTAAACAATAGCAACTGTTTAAACAGGGTCTTAGTAATGCCATAAAAAATTTTTTAACATGTAAGTTTTAATGTAAAATAGTTTCTTAAAGACACATACAGGGGGGGGGATGCTTTTGCAGTAGCAATTCTCAATAAATAACAATGTGAAGTTGAACAGCCACTGGCAAGTTGTGCATCACTGGAATTATTACCATGGAAAATGCAAATCTTTTAGGTAAAAATCTGTTTCTAGTTTCGAACACTTCTTTTCACTAATGCAATAGACCTAATTTTTCTGAAATCATGGTAAGGTAGGAATTGTTGCATCAGGTAACAAAGAAACGGGATTAGAAAAGGGGAGAGGCATTAAAGCTGCCAAATAGGAAGCAAGAATTTTGTTGTTCCTGACTTAAAAGGCCTGTGGGGGCACATGGAGTTGTGAAAAAGATGTGAGAGTGCATAACTTAATTGATCATCACAACTGGAGGGGTCATTTCTTGAGGCAAGACTTAAAAGACAGATTAAATTTTTATTTAAAAGTATTTATAAAGGTCACCCAGTGCCTGGGGAACAAAGGGCAACGGGTTTGATCCAAGGAAGGGGGGAACAACTTTCCTTACATCAATAGCCTTTCAGCTTAAAAGGGGCCTCCCTTGGGGGATGCATAGTGGGGAAAAGTACAGCATTGGTTTGGGGAGTTTTGATTTTTTTGAGGCTGTGGGGGAATTTGAATGAATATTTAAGACTGAGGTGAAAGGCAACCGGGAATTCAGAGGTGGGGACTTCAAAAGGGTTAAACCCGGGGAGTGTACAAGGGGTGCACATGTTCCGAGTGTCGGGGAAATCAAAAGGTTTTTTTTTTCCTTAAATACTGTAGCACTGCTTTTTATATGATTTTTTTTTCCTTAAACAGAAAAACTACAGTATTTTATTTTCTCCACAGCACACCTAAAAGGAAAAATGGAGCAGATAAAATTGCGGTGCATTTCCTGAGTTTGCTATAAGGGAACAGTCCAAAACTTTTGCGATACCAACCCACCAAAACTGACCAAAACCCCCAAACCCTGTTTTTGATTGTAGGGGTCATACTTTTTTTCAGTGGGTTTCAGCCCATAGGGAAAAAGGTTTTTCTAGTTAATTTATTTCTGTTTGTACAAGGAATTACTATTGTATTTAATGGAAGCCCTAACCCAAGGGAGTCATAAGAACCTGGGTAATAGGTAGCAATCACATCAACTTAAAGGAGGGCAAGCCAAAACCTTAGATCAAGAAACCTTTTAGGGCGAGTGGAAGGGACACAAACTAAATTTCAGTATTGCGATTTTGTATTTCAATTTTTGGTTGATGATTTAACCCGTCGTTCTTCGACACATGAACTATCCCAAAAATTTTTGTTGATTATTAGGAAAACCCGGGCCCATGCTCAAGTAAGCGATTGGGGGACCAAGGAGTAGGGAAAAAGTTGGTACGTATGGGTTTTAGGGAGAACCAATGTTTGAAAGCAAATTTCCCGGTTCTAAGGAGGATCCATGGGCAAGCAATCAGTAAAAGGTGTGCGGTCACTTGGGATTTGAAAAATCATACATCTCATTTATCACAAGGGAAAAAAAAATGAGGCAGTCCAAGAAAAAACAAATTATTATATAACAAAAGAAGAGCAAAAAATACAAGAGTTATACAGCACGCTGGGGAGGGGAAAGGGGCAGAGTAAAGGGTTCAAGGGAAAAGGGATATTATTAGGTCAAAAGCACAGCGGGGGAGTGGGAATGCATTATTATTATTATTATAAACAAGGGAAGCCTAAACCCGGAGGATTTGAAGCGCCTGGGGGGAAGGAAGGCCAGGGTTAACGGGAACTGGAGCCAGATCCAATTTCCTAAATCAAGAGCCCTCACCAACATCAAAGAACCTCCCTTTAGGGGGTGGTGTGCGAGGGATAGGGTACAAGAGATTGAGGTAGAAAAGGGGGTGAGGATATTAAAGGGATCATCATAAGTTTGTACAGTAAATCAATTTCTGTCAAAAAGTCACTGAGAAGTCTGGGGAAATGAGGCCCATCAGCAAGAAAGGGAAAGGGAAAATAAGGGGATTAACGGGGGACGACATTGGAAAGGGAAATTTTTTTCTGCTCGCTGATAGATGAGCAGTCCAACAAAAATGGCTAACAGAAACTGGAACCTGACAATTCTTACAGAGTGCAACAGGGCGCCTCTCCATGAGATACCCGTCAGTAAGATGAGTGTGGCCGATGTGAAGACAGGAGAGAGTAGTCTCCCAGTCTCAGCACTGATGATAAGAAGACAGCCAGAAACCTATACTCGGTTTAATAGAAAGTAGTTTATTATAGAGCAGATCAGGTTAACGTTGTTGCCAGTGAGTGCGAAGGTGGGTAGCAATTGCAGCAAAATAGTCTGTGACTGGAACACCTCTATATGAAACTGGGAGGTCATGTATTGCTGAACATGCAGCAGTGTCTGCCTGTTCATTTCCCTGTATGTCAGCATGACTGGGGACCCAACAAAAAACAATATCTCTAGCAAGCACAAAGATATGGAGTAACCAAAGTTGAATACGAAGAACCAGGAGATGAGGTGCATCAAATTTTCGTATAGCCTGTAAAGCACTAAGGGAGTCTGAAACGACCACAAATGGTGACACTGGCATAGATGCAATACGGGTAAGTGCTACAAGAATGGCATACAATTCAACTGTAAAAATGCTAGCCAGGGATAATAAATGACCTCGCATGACGCTGTCCAGTAACACCACTGCGAATCCGATGCCGTCAAAAGACTTGGAACCATCATTGTACACTGTGATGGCATGAGATCAGAAGTGGTTAAGAAAAAGAGAGAGAGAAGTCACCATAGGCAGTTGGGTTTTCGCACATGGCAGTGGGAAAGAACAGACACGAACCATCAGAACTTCTCAAGGGGGTAGGGAAAAGCAAGATGCTACATGAACATAGAAAGATGGTAACTGAAGAGAAGACAAGTTAATGTAGGCAAAGAGAAAAGGGACGGAGTAAACAGGGACGACAAACAAACAAACATCTACTAATATCAGTGACTATCCTATATATGGAAGGATTGCGGAGGTCATGAGAGCGAACATAATAGTGCAGGCAATGAGCATCACTGCAATCGGACAAGGATGGAATATTTGCCTCTGCATAGAGGCTCTCAACCAGTGAAAAGCGAAAAGCACCAAGGCATAAATGTAATCCCTGGTGATGGATGGGATTAAGGCTAGAGAGAGTGCAGGAGAGGCCGCTGAATATACCTGGTCGCCATAATCGAGTTTCGTTAAAATTAGGGCTGAACGTAGTCGAAGGAGGGTTCTACAATCAGCCCCCATGAAAGATGAGCGAGGGTTTTAGAGGTTCAGCCAGCTATGACAAGTTGCCTTCCGAGAGGTAATGCGAGGTTTCCAGGATAACCTATGGTCAAACAGAAGGCTTAGAAATCTGACCGTATCACGTTCTGGGATACGAGAGCCATATAGGTACAATGGATGATCAGAGACGGCAGAACGTCTAGTGAAAGTAATTTGGCAAGTTTTAGTACAACTAGAAAATTTAAACCCATGAGTGGTAGCCCAATTGGAAAGAATAAACAATCACGTACCCACACTAAACTAGTCATCTCTGCTGTGACATGTAATGCTGTTGTTTCCTGGAAACTACATCTTATCCTACCTGGCGTGTACCACCAGGATGGTACCTACAAAATTAACCGAGTTAGGCTTAGCAAAACTGCCTGTATAGTGCTGTATGGCCCTCATGGGTTTAGCACTTAGTTATGATGATAAAAACTGCCTGTTTAAGCAAGAGTTCTAATGTAAGGAGTAATGTGTTATAAGTTGCCACTCATGGATTTGCAGGCAACCTCCAGTAGTAATACAATTGAGGCCCTGCCAAATGGCTACCCAGTGTCTCACCAGAGGGTCACCTGACATGCCCCAAGATTTAGTTTCTATTGGATAGAGGGACATGACTAATTCAGCACTACTAACAAACGTCAAGTTAGAACAACACTAAAAGCGATTCCTTTATCCTTGTCTAGGAGCTGGGTGGTATTTCACAAAGAAATATAACCTGTGTGGTCAAAAGGAGGGAAAGAGCTGGGTGTTATTTGGATTAAATCCAAGAAAGGGCACAGAACAAATGTTTGAATCAATAGTCCTACTGTTGCAGCAAGGCCCCCATTGAAGATCAGTCACCTTATAAAAGAATCACTGCATTTTAAAAAATAAACAATTATTTAAATCAAAACACTAGTACTGTATGCCATTTTACTGTTCAAGGAATCATTTTGAAGAATGCTAAATGCACAGGTTCCTTTTAAGTGCTTTGAGTTTATCCTAAAAAATAACAGCTAAACCTTTCATCTTTAAAGGAAAATAAATATATACTGGTCAGTCTTAATTTATTTAATAAGAGACATACTTTATACATAGTTTACCATTTCATTATATTTCTATACAGCTCATAGACTTATCGAAGACAAGAATGTAACTGAAGGAGGTCATGCTAGAAGTTTGGTGGAACTGGGACACCAGCCTGTTCTGCTAAATAGATCATCTCACCTAATGGGGATATTAAAATAAATTATTAGAACTTGTCAGCTAATTTTCACATGCATTTTAATTGCTTTAACAATAAGTGTAAATGATCACATGCTATCAAATAAAGGTTTGTTAATTTAGGGTGGCAATAATGAATTTATTATATCAGGAATAGCCGGATAAGGTCATTACTAAACATGGTACTTTGTAAAAATACACAAGTTCAAATTTGTATTCTTCAATTAACTTGTATATACAGTATGATGAATAGATGTAGCAAATCTCAAATGTATTACAAAACATACAATGAAAGCATATATTGCAAACTAAAATATGATTAACAAAAGAATTTACTAAAGAATAATAGGAAATATGAAGAGTATGAAACCAATATGGGCAACCCTGTCTCCAATCACCACAAGTGACAAAGTGGCCATGAAAATGTGGCAGCTTTGAGTTTGACATATTTTGGCTCTAATAAAACATAAGTCTTTTTCTGAATGGCATGTGCTGCTTGCAACTTGACATTCTGAAAAAACCATATCACGGGTGGGGATAGAACCCACGATCAGTCATAAGACTCCAAACCGACATGCTAGCCACTGGGCCAGTTGGACGAATCTTGATGTAGCCGGGCCAGTTGGACGAATCTTGATGTAGCCAGGCCAGTTGGACGAATCTTGATGTAACCAGCTGACCCAGTGGCTAGCTCGTCAGTCTGGAGTTCTATGACTCTCTGATCGCAGGTTCTATCCCTACCCACGGTATGGTTTATTTACAGTCATGTCATTACGATTTCATGAGTCTTAACATTCTGTATCCTTATTTTATCTTACCCTAGCAGAATTCTTCAGAGATATACAGGAATATATTCTGATTGACAGGGATTTCTCCAACTTTGAGGGAAAAAAAAATTGAAATTAGTCTGGATCAATGTGGGTGTGTTAACTGTTCTCAACGATGTGATTAATCACATCAAAATAGAGCTCTTGAACTTTGGTCAATTTAAAGGTAGAATCAAGATGTGTATCGAGTACAGATATTGAGCCAAAAATTTTTGAAACTTGCAAGACGAATTTTTTTTTTTTTTTTTTTTTTTTTTTTTTTTTTAAAGTCAGCCGTCTCCCACCGAGGCAGGGTGACCCAAAAAGAAAATCCCCATATCCTGCATTAATTTTTTTTGTTTTTTTAATTTCAAGAATTTGTTATTTTTTTTTGCATCTAAGGCAGTTGTAACTGAAGTCAGAATTAACAAATTTTTAATAAACCTGTTCACACAATTTATTATAGTCTTTTAGTTTTCAAGTGAGCAGCCCAATTTCTCGATTTTTGCAAGGTGTGGAAAATTTCACTTTTCATTCAACGCATCTGTGACCACATTTAAAAATCTGTTGCCCACCTATGGTACAGAATTTAAAAACCTCAATTTCTCAAAGGAAATAAATTAGGAAATAAAAATGTATATAATTGATTCATTAAATTTAGCCAATGATACTACTACTAAATTCAAATCAGACTATTTAAAGTAAATGACGATCTCACTGTTTTAACAATTTCCACAATCATACTATCTCTGATTATCTGTCTGTAGTTGTTTCAATACAACAAAATAATCAAACCTTAGTATCAACACTCAAAACAAAGAATCTAATTTTAAATGTATAGAAGTAGTACTCCCACAGGAAATTGACTTGGCACTAAGAGGTTCTAACAAATAAATTCTACATCTAACAAGTACTGAACTGAGAAATTTATTACCTCTGTTTAATCTGTTCTTTTCTTCAGCAAGCTGAGCATTTCTAATAACAGCATGCTTGGCTTCTTCTTCTCTGAGAATAGCTTCCTTTGCACTTAGTGATTTAAAGTGGCTCCTTCCATATATGATACCAGTTAGCAGAGCTGCCCAGCGACCAAACTGCAAATACACATTTAATTTATATAATACATCTCTACACACATTATATTTATTCAGGTACAGATACACTAAGTACTTTTAAATAATATGATATTACAAGGACCCCAATGGAAATAAGTCACTTTGACTTTTTTTGGTTATCGTAGGTAATTTACAGTGTGGTAATTGTACCTATATGTACTTGTGCCCAAATAAACTTGCTTACAATTATCACACACAGTAATGTGTAAATTACCAAGGATAACCCAAAAGTCATGGACAAGTTCCTCTCTACCTGGAATTACCTGAGAGAGTTCCGTGGTCCAACGGCACCGCGGCCCGGTACTGTGACCAGGCCTTCCTGTGTGGATTCCAGAGCGCTGAATCAACCAGGGGTTGCTTGCTGGCTGCACGCAAACCACGTAACGAGCCACGTCCCGGCTGATCCGAACTGAATTTAGGCTTGTCCAGTGCAACAGCTTTGAAGAACTGCAATGGGTTCTGGTAATCCCCCTATATGTGTCTGGGATGCAGTTGAACAGTACTCGGGCCCCTGACACTTATTGGTATGGTCATCTTAACTTCATAGTGACTAACCCCTAAGCATTTCTCATTGGGGGGTTGTGACATCCCCCAATGAAAAGCAAAATAATAAAAGTAATAAAAATTTGAAAACCTCATCACAAGGACCTTACTCCGAATATTAAACCAAAGATTATTAACCACTTCATAACTACATCCAGGAAGCGCTAAACAAGCTGAGGTTACACAGTCTTGGGGAAGGCAGGCTAATGAAGTTTACTTAGATACAAGTTAAAGCCCTTGTGCTTAGCGCTTTCTTATTGATATAATATAATAAGTAATACTAGTATACAGTTAACAATCATCATCAAATATTAAGTAACGAGTAAAATTCACTAGGTTAACCCTCACAAAAAGGTCAGATGAGTGACAATTTCCACTTGGTTAAGTAAAGTTTATTTAGGTACTGGTACATACTATATTATTATTTATAACAAATGAATCTGCTAAACCTACAGGTACTAGCAATTAAAATTATCAACATAATTGAATGTTACTATCTCCTTCTGGATAACCACAAATACCTAAAAAGAAGTGTCAGCTCACAATCCTTGATCACAAAGCCCCCTTCACATCATCAAGGACCCTCTCTCCAAATTAATTAAAGTAAATATCTGAAAAGTCAATTCCCCACAACTGCCGGCTCCTCTTCCACTCTCACACCAACTCACCATAAGCTAACCCAGGTTAGACAGTGCTCGCACAACATATTTGCAATACCATGAACTACGTGTACGTTATATTAGTGACAGTAAGTGTAGAGGTTTACCTTAATTAGTGGAGAAACACGGACAGGAGGAGCCAGTGTCGCCATCTTGCCAGAGCCAGAACACAGCTTCACTTCTACTTCAATATTATATCTACCATTTATCTCTTCCTTTATGTTATATAGTTCACATAAAGGCATAAAAATGTTTTTTGACAACAATATTAATATTTAGTTTTTCTATGACTAAGTAAAAATGTAAAATATTGGTGTTTACGTTGTTTTTAATACCGCGAAATTTAAACAATAATAATAATGGTAATAATAATAATAATATTAATAAATCTTTATTTGCTACAAGTTCATGTACAAGGTATTCAAGCCTAGTTGGACATCAGTGACATACTACTATATAGAAAGCTCCTTGTTATACAGAGCATTTCGGGCAAATTAGGTCAGTTTTTGTCCCAGGATGCACCCACAACAGTTGACTAACACCCAGGTACTCATGTCATATTTTACTGATGGGGAACATAGCCAACAGGTGTAAGGAAACACGCCCAATGTTTCTACCCTCGCTGGGAATCGAACCCAGACTCGCCGTGTGAAGCGAGAATTTAGCCACCAGCCACGGGACAACCATTTATAAGTTTATTCAGGTACAGGTACACATAAATACAGTTACATAAATTATCATACATAGCAGAATATGCGTAGATTACTTAGGATAACCCAAAAAAGTCAGTGACTTATTTCTTGTTTTAATCATTATAAGATACGGCCATTATCGAGATTTCAATAGCCTTATCATTAACAATGTAAAAAAGATTCAGTTAAAATCCCCTAGATTTTTTTTTGGGGGGGGGCAGGGGATGTTCCTTAATAATAGTTAGATTTCTTTATACCTCTCAGCAAACCTACCGAACCCGTCTTCGACTTGGGGCGAGTGAGCACAGCATATTCCCTTACGATTTCTTGCTCCAAGTTTACATAGCACTAAGTAGGTACGGGTGTTTGAGTTACCATATTCGTAGTACAGGAGCATAGCAATGTTCGTGGTTTTTTCTTCAGGATTCGTGTTCATATAAATTTAATTTTTTTTATTCGAAATTTCACCAATTGGGCTGCAACACCTACTAAATTTTTCATTAATAGCAATCCACGTGTTTGTTACCATTTGTGTGTGCAAAGAACAGTTTCCCTTTCTTTTTTCATTCCATTGCCACTTTTTTCTTAATTGCCATCTGTGTCCATTCTCATTTTCCTTGTATGTACATACTATTTTTATAACTTCGCATTTTCCTTTCGAAATCTTTCATCCATTGTAACAATTTACCTTTAATTTCTCCTAAATTTTGCAGTTTCCAGATTAATCTCATGGGGACTTCTGTCTGAAACTTTCTTTAAGTTCAGGTAAATATAGTCTTCCTATCCATTTCTTTCTTGAACAATTACCACAACTCTGCAATAATAATTGAACAAGATTCTTATACGTGATTGTGTAGACCGAAAACCAAGTTCTTGCCCAGTATGTTATTATTCTCTAATTGTTGAATCCACTTTCCTCTAATGGCTTTTTCTAATAATTTCACGAGAGTTTAAATTTAATATGTTTATTATGTACCTCATACCCATCCTGTGGGTAGCTGAAGCTCCCGCTTCACACACGGAGGACCCGGGTTCGATTCCCGGCGGGTTGAAACATTTCGACACATTTCCTTACACCTGTTGTCCTGTTCACCTAGCAGCAAATAGGTACCTGGGTGTTAGTCGACTGGTGTGGGTCGCATCCTGGGGGACAAGATTGAGGACCAAAATGGAAATAAGTTAGACAGTCCTCGATGACGCACTGACTTTCTTGGGTTATCCTGGGTGGCTAACCCTCCGGGGTTAAAAATCCTATCTTATCTTATCTTATCTTACAGAGGTACATAATGGGTCCAGGGACTGGACCACCAAAGTTTTGATAGCTGAACTAGGTACAAAGGTAATGAATCATGCAAGTAAAGTTACTTACGTTTATACATGGCTACAATCATGAACAAATTATAGAGTAATTTCCCAACACACGTCCAGCAAACCGGCCTGTTGAATGAAGGATGTACTTGATCTATTTGGAAACTTCTAGTTTGTGTTTCAGTTTACAGGGATGCGAGTGGAAATAAGTCACGTTGTCTGACTTTTTTGGGAGGTTTATCCTAGGTAATTTACACATATGTTAAGCCATGTATGATAGTTTTGTGTATCTGTACCTAAATAAACTTACTCAAAAACCCCAGTGGATATTACTCACTTTGTCTGAATTTTTGTGTTATCCTAGGCAATTTACACTATGTATGATAAGTGTACGTATGTGTAACTATACCTAAATAAGCATAGTTTCTTTATTTCATCTTTTATCTTATCTGTTATTATATTATTATCTATTATTTTATTATTTTTTCTCAGAATATCGAGAAGTAGGGCTTGATAAGGTGTTTGTGTCTGCCCGAAATACCCGGCTCTGCATACGAGGGGTTTTTGGCATGTACACTTAGCCACTGTATTTCTTTTATACAACTATGTATCATGTCCAAGTAATAATAAATAAATAAATAAATAAATAAATAAATAAATACTTAGTTTTAGTTTTAGTTTAATATGTTTATTATGCACCCCATACCCATCCTGTGGGCGGTAGTCAAAAGATTACAGAGGTACATAATTGGTCCAGGGACTGGACTCCAAAGTTTTGATAGCTGAGCAAGTTACAGAGGTAATGAACTCACAATTTACAAAGGTAATGAACTCACAATTTACAAAGGTAATGAACTCCAGGTAAGTCTGGTCACAATCATGACAAGTTACAAAGGTATTTACAGATTACAGAGGTACGTAATGGGTCCAGGGACTGGGCCCCCAAAGTTTTGATAGCTGAACTAGGTACAAAGGTAATGAGCTCACAAGTTACAAAGGTAATGAATTCTGTAGAATGGTTACTTACGTTTATACTTTGGCTACAATCATGAACAAATTATAGAGTAATGAGCAATTCACACTTCCACACCCGGTCACAACTGTAATGAGTTATTGGTGCAAATATTGATTGTTGAGTCACACACACCACACACACACACACACACTTAGCAAACCAAAATTATAATTACACATTGTAACCTTTACAAAGAAATAAAAATCTTTATCATTAAGCTGTCAGTTGCCCTTTTAAACCCAACAACAAGAATCAGTAGCCGTTCACTTTCCATTTTTTATTTTTGTCCAGAATTGAGCAACATTTTCTCCCAGGACAGCTGTACGAGTCATAGGAGTTTAATAATAATCCATGAGTCCGGGAGGGAAGGTTCAATAGAGCGTGAGGTGTGGCTTGTCATAAATTAAATGTTTCACCCTCGACCTTGTGGTTGTAAAGGCCAGCGGACCTGCCTTGTTTGTGAGAACAATTATGGAGCTTCAACTTCTCACTCCAGTTGGATTAGTGAAGAAGACCGGGTAAGGCAAGACAAATTGAGGGGCTCTTGATTTAGGGAATTGGAACTGTGCTCCAGTTCCCCGAATTAAGCCTGAATGCCTTCCACATCCCCCCCCCGGCGCTGTATAATCCTCCGGTTTAGCGCTTCCCCCTTGATTATAATAATAATAATATAACTAACAGTGACTCACAAAACAGTAGGCATCCTTTCAAAGATACGGTACTATGTACCAGCTCTTCTAGCATTGTGGTTTAGCACTTCTTTTTTACTATAATAATTTTAGCTTTGTACTCACACTCTCTCATTTACCCTAACCTCGTCTATGGTATTTGTGCATGGGGATCAACCACACCAAATCATCTTAAGCCTTTAATAACCCAGCAAAAAGCTGCAGTGCGACTGATTACTAACTCCTGCATTAGACAACACACTCCACCTCTTTTCAAGAGTCTTAACCTGCTAAATATACAAAACATCCACACTTATTATTGTGCCTACTACATACACAGAACACTATACTCTAATGTAAACCCTCCTCTCAAACTCCTCCTTGATAACTATAACAGAACACACAACCATAATACAGTACGAGACACAGCTCACTCTTCGATATCCCTCGTAGTCATCTCCCTATGCAAAAATGCTGTGCACGTAAAAAGCCTGAAGATTTGGAATTCATTGTCAAACACACTGAATGACTCTGTCTGCAAATCAGTTTAAGGCCCTAATAAGAAATCACCTCATCTCCCAAAATAAACTAGACAATACACAAATAACCCGCACATAAAAGACAGAAGCTTACGACGACGTTTCGGTCCGACTTGGACCATTGACAAAGTCACACTAACAGAGGTGGAGCAGGATGGCTATATAGCCATCCTGCTCCACCTCTGTTAGTGTGACTTTGTCAATGGTCCAAGTCGGACCGAAACGTCGTCGTAAGCTTCTGTCTTTTATGTGCGGGTTATTTGTGTATCGTTCCAGTCACGGTATTGTGCCTTTTTGTTATTTATAAACTAGACAAACCATACCTAATCACTACCAGTTTCTCAAAAGCTACTCATATTGTGCTGATGAATGCTCAACCACTTACTACTTCCAAATTAGGATGTCTGTTTTTCCTTGTTTTAAATAGTACTAGATTGTAATACAGTACATCATGATGTAAATTGTTCCATTGTAATACCAAGTTTCATTGTTTTAAGTAGTACTAAACTGTATATTATTTTTATTTATTATCACACCGGCCGATTCCCACCAAGGCAGGGTGGCCCGAAAAAGAAAAACTTTCACCATCATTCACTCCATCACTGTCTTGCCAGAAGGGTGCTTTACACTACAGTTTTTAAACTGCAACATTAACACCCCTCCTTCAGAGTGCAGGCACTGTACTTCCCATCTCCAGGACTCAAGTCCGGCCTGCCGGTTTCCCTGAATCCCTTCATAAATGTTACCTTGCTCACACTCCAACAGCACGTCAAGTATTAAAAACCATTTGTCTCCATTCACTCCTATCAAACACGCTCACGCATGCCTGCTGGAAGTCCAAGCCCCTCGCACACAAAACCTCCTTTACCCCTCCCTCCAACCCTTCCTAGGCCGACCCCTACCCCGCCTTCCTTCCACTACAGACTGATACACTCTTGAAGTCATTCTGTTTCGTTCCATTCTCTCTACATGTCCGAACCACCTCAACAACCCTTCCTCAGCCCTCTGGACAACAGTTTTGGTAATCCCGCACCTCCTCCTAACTTCCAAACTACGAATTCTCTGCATTATATTCACACCACACATTGCCCTCAGACATGACATCTCCACTGCCTCCAGCCTTCTCCTCGCTGCAACATTCATCACCCACGCTTCACACCCATATAAGAGCGTTGGTAAAACTATACTCTTATACATTCCCTCTTTGCCTCCAAGGACAAAGTTCTTTGTCTCCACAGACTCCTAAGTGCACCACTCACTCTTTTTTCCCTCATCAATTCTATGATTCACCTCATCTTTCATAGACCCATCCGCTGACACGTCCACTCCCAAATATCTGAATACGTTCACCTCCTCCATACTCTCTCCCTCCAATCTGATATTCAATCTTTCATCACCTAATCTTTTTGTTATCCTCATAACCTTACTCTTTCCTGTATTCACCTTTAATTTTCTTCTTTGCACACCCTACCAAATTCATCCACCAATCTCTGCAACTTCTCTTCAGAATCTCCCAAGAGCACAGTGTCATCAGCAAAGAGCAGCTGTGACAAAATCCCACTTTGTGTGTGATTCTTTATCTTTTAACTCCACGCCTCTTGCCAAGACCCTCGCATTTACTTCTCTTACAACCCCATCTATAAATATATTAAACAACCACGGTGACATCACACATCCTTGTCTAAGGCCTACTTTTACTGGGAAAAAATTTCCCTCTTTCCTACATACTCTAACTTGAGCCTCACTATCCTCGTAAAAACTCTTCACTGCTTTCAGTAACCTACCTCCTACACCATACACTTGCAACATCTGCCACATTGCCCCCCTATCCACCCTGTCATACGCCTTTTCCAAATCCATAAATGCCACAAAGACCTCTTTAGCCTTATCTAAATACTGTTCACTTATATGTTTCACTGTAATATACATCATATTGTAAATTGTTTTAAATTGTTACATTGTCATGCGGTAATCTTTATTAACTAATTCAACAGTGTAATAGGTCTCTACTAGACTTATCAAAACCATGTATCATTACCTGATAGAATATTCAATTCTCCTAATCTTAAGTTAATCTTTAAGTTTGCCCAAAATGCTCTGTATACAAAGGGGCTTTTGGCATGTACACCCAACTATTATATTCCTCTGTACAACCATGTGAAAGTGTATAAACTAAGGGAGGAGGAAGTTCGGGTGAGATATAAGCGACTATTGGCAGAAAGGTGGGCTAGTGCAAAGATGAGTAGTGGGGGGGTTGAAGAGGGTTGGAATAGTTTTAAAAATGCAGTATTAGAATGTGGGGCAGAAGTTTGTGGTTATAGGAGGGTGGGGGCAGGAGGAAAGAGGAGTGATTGGTGGAATGATGAAGTAAAGGGTGTGATAAAAGAGAAAAAGGTAGCTTATGAGAGGTTTTTACAAAGCAGAAGTGTTATAAGAAGAGCAGAGTATATGGAGAGTAAAAGAAAGGTAAAGAGAGTGGTGAGAGAGTGCAAAAGGAGAGCAGATGATAGAGTGGGAGAGGCACTGTCAAGAAATTTTAATGAAAATAAGAAAAAATTTTGGAGTGAGTTAAACAAGTTAAGAAAGCCTAGGGAAAATATGGATTTGTCAGTTAAAAACAGAGTAGGGGAGTTAGTAGATGGGGAGATGGAGGTATTGGGTAGATGGCGAGAATATTTGAGGAACTTTTAAATGTTAAGGAAGAAACAGAGGCAGTAATTTCATGCACTGGTCAGGAGGTATACCATCTTTTAGGAGTGAAGAAGAGCAGAATGTAAGTGTGGGGGAGGTACGTGAGGCATTACGTAAAATGAAAGGGGGTAAAGCAGCTGGAACTGATGGGATCATGACAGAAATGTTAAAAGCAGGGGGGGATATAGTGTTGGAGTGGTTGGTACTTTTGTTTAATAAATGTATGAAAGAGGGGAAGGTACCTAGGGATTGGCAGAGAGCATGTATAGTCCCTTTATAAAAAGGGGAAAGGGGACAAAAGAGACTGTAAAAATTATAGAGGAATAAGCTTACTGAGTATACCAGGAAAAGTGTACGGTAGGGTTATAATTGAAAGAATTAGAGGTAAGACAGAATGTAGGATTGCGGATGAGCAAGGAGGTTTTAGAGTGGGTAGGGGATGTGTAGATCAGGTGTTTACATTGAAGCATATATGTGAACAGTATTTAGATAAAGATAGGGAAGTTTTTATTGCATTTATGGATTTAGAAAAGGCATATGATAGAGTGGATAGAGGAGCAATGTGGCAGATGTTGCAAGTATATGGAATAGGTGGTAAGTTATTAAATGCTGTAAAGAGTTTTTATGAGGATAGTGAGGCCTCAGGTTAGGGTGTGTAGAAGAGAGGGAGACTACTTCCCGGTAAAAGTAGGTCTTAGACAGGGATGTGTAATGTCACCATGGTTGTTTAATATATTTATAGATGGGTTTGTAAAGGAAGTAAATGCTAGGGTGTTTGGGAGAGGGGTGGGATTAAATTATGGGAATCAAATTCAAAATGGGAATTGACACAGTTACTTTTTGCTGATGATACTGTGCTTATGGGAGATTCTAAAGAAAAATTGCAAAGGTTAGTGGATGAGTTTGGGAATGTGTGTAAAGGTAGAAAGTTGAAAGTGAACATAGAAAAGAGTAAGGTGATGAGGGTGTCAAATGATTTAGATAAAGAAAAATTGGATATCAAATTGGGGAGGAGGAGTATGGAAGAAGTGAATGTTTTCAGATACTTGGGAGTTGACGTGTCGGCGGATGGATTTATGAAGGATGAGGTTAATCATAGAATTGATGAGGGAAAAAAGGTGAGTGGTGCGTTGAGGTATATGTGGAGTCAAAAAACGTTATCTATGGAGGCAAAGAAGGGAATGTATGAAAGTATAGTAGTACCAACACTCTTATATGGGTGTGAAGCTTGGGTGGTAAATGCAGCAGCGAGGAGACGGTTGGAGGCAGCGGAGATGTCCTGTTTAAGGGCAATGTGTGGTGTAAATATTATGCAGAAAATTCGGAGTGTGGAAATTAGGAGAAGGTGTGGAGTTAATAAAAGTATTAGTCAGAGGGCAGAAGAGGGGTTGTTGAGGTGGTTTGGTCATTTAGAGAGAATGGATCACAGTAGAATGACATGGAAAGCATATAAATCTATAGGGGAAGGAAGGCGGGGTAGGGGTCGTCCTCGAAAGGGTTGGAGAGAGGGGGTAAAGGAGGTTTTGTGGGTAAGGGGCTTGGACTTCCAGCAAGCGTGCGTGAGCGTGTTAGATAGGAGTGAATGGAGACGAATGGTACTTGGGACCTGACGATCTGTTGGAGTGTGAGCAGGGTAATATTTAGTGAAGGGATTCAGGGGAAAACCCGGTTATTTTCATATAGTCGGACTTGAGTCCTGGAAATGGGAAGTACAATGCCTGCACTTTAAAGGAGGGGTTTGGGATATTGGCAGTTTGGAGGGATATGTTGTGTATCTTTATATGTTTATGCTTCTAGACTGTTGTATTCTGAGCACCTCTGCAAAAACAGTGATAATGTGCGAGTGTGGTGAAAGTGTTGAATGATGATGAAAGTATTTTCTTTTTGGGGATTTTCTTTCTTTTTTGGGTCACCCTGCCTCGGTGGGAGACGGCCGACTTGTTGAAAAAAAAAAAAAAAAAAAAAAACATGTAATTTGTCAAAATAAACATCTTAATCTTAAATAACCCGCATAGAGGAGAGAGGAGCTTACAATGACGTTTTGGTCCTACTTGGACCATTTACAAAGTCACACTTTGTAAATGGTGTGATTTTGTAAATGATCCAAGTCGGACCGAAACATCATCGTAAGCTCCTCTCTCATGTGTGCATTGTTCCAGTTATGGTATTGTGTATTATCGTTCTTGAACAATGGTTACTTGAGTACTAGTCATGTCACTGACGTTACCAAGTTGTCAATCGGTCATAAGAGGTCTGATATTTTTCTTTTTGGCAAATATTAATATAACTTACCCTTAAAATGATTTAGGTTGTTAAATTACTTATCGTTATCTTTTATCGTTACCCAGTGAACTGCCCAGTGATTTAACTAAACACCAAATTTTTTCCTTCTTTATCCATTATAATACGTAATATTAATAGTTCATCCGCCTTATAAACTATTATTATCTTTCCAGCCATAAAACATAATAAATTTTCTTAGTGGATTTAGTTAATTCACACCAAAGGTCTCTTCTGAACTGGAGATTCAGAATGGATAGTACATTTCCCTCTTTTACTTATCAATATTTTAATACACGTAAACTACATTTTTTATGCTGCACAAAGAAATGAAATTTGTTTATTGGAGTTGCAGGACATAGTTGAAGCATTATAGTTTCTTTGGTTATTATTGTATTGTGATGTCTGTGCCTCTCTGGAAAGACAGCTAGGCCACCCTGATTTGGTCAGAAACAACCATTGTGTTCCTCACAGGGTTCTTGTTTCCAGTTAAATTTAATGATTACACAGGCCTCATCGACATCTTATTTTCATACTCTTCAGGAGCACTCTTATGTGTATTGTCCACTGTGTGAACTTGCTTGGCCAGGATGGGCAACACACAGCTGGAAAAGTCATCCAAACCATGAAGGTGACTCTATCAAGTAAGTTTTATGTTCAATTTAAGCAGTTTTATGCACACTAGTGCTAGTTTAAGATTTTAGTTGAATTTAAAATATGACTGAAAGATTTTGTATAAGAGATGATAATTACCATACTAGGCAAAATTAAAAATGAAAGTAAATTGTTACAGTACTCTATAGTGCTTTATTAACCTTCCACTATCAAATTCTGACGTTATTACTGATGCACTCTAACAAGATTGCTGATCTTTTCTTTCTTTCTCATGAACATGAAAGACAGCAGGTAAATCTTATTAACTACTTATATTCGGTATACATATACCTTTATCTTCTGATGTACTACTTAGTAGTCATAATTCTGTAAATTTTCCTTTCCAATGTAGGAGGCCTGGTCTGAGACCCAGCAGTGGGTAAGGTAATCTCCAGAACCAGGAACAGATAGCAGCTGTTCCTCTATGGGAGTTGTCAGTATGAGTCCTTATCCTAAATGGATATGGATTCACATACCTTAATTATGTATAGCGTCCTCAAGGATTTGTTAATGTCAGTCAGATTAAAATTAGCATTTCCTTTCTTACTCTGAGATTCTGATAAGTGTTGTCCCAGTGAAGAGCTCTTAATCCAGGGAATTTGAACTATCCTCTCTTTCCTTGGATTGAATCTGATTGCCTGCCATTCCTCATTCCCTAGGTATTGTAGATGTGCTTCCCCATGAATGAACTAAATAAAATGATTAGTGTTGTATTTTTCTCAAATCTGTGTATTTTTCTTAATACAAAAGACATATCAAAAGCTAGTTATATCTTTAGGCTTATGTATATTTATGCATAAATTTTGAAGCTTAAAAACCTTTGCAGATTCCCTGGAATAAAATTAGTATTAGATTTTGTATCAGAAGAAGAAGAAAATGACCTCTTGACTCACATTGACGAAATTCCATGGGATTCATCTCAAAGTGGGCGACAAAAACAGGTACAGTAGGATTAAATTAGGTATCCTCGGAAAGGAATACCTAAGTATAGTACAGCCTCTCCTCTCTTAATGATGGAGTTCTGTTCCTAAGACCACATCAGTTAACAAATTCATCACTAAGTGAGGAACATGCTATATTGGTAGTGGGTTTGTGTCAGCCATCTTTGATATTGTTTTAATGTCATCTTTGCATCATTTATAACATTTCTGGTATATTTTTAAATGTTTATACAGTAGTGTACTGTACATGTATATTGTAATAAACAGAACAGAGGAAATCAATTCTAATATACGTACATTATTTACGTATGCATGCTGGTCAGAGAGTCTGTTGTAAGTCCAAGTCGTCAGTAAATGTGTACGTTACTAAGTGAGGAGAGACTGTATTGTAGTTGCAGATATTTTTTTTCCTTCCTACGAGGTTTCTTTGCAATAACTTAGAAATGCCACCTCTTGGCTTTAGACTTTCATCACTAGTGTATCCTGTTTAAAGGAAGGTTCAGATTGCTATTGAGCTTGTAAATGCCATTAATAAATTAAGGTAGTTTCTGTTTGTAGCTACAGCAGAGATATTCACAATAAAAATATTGTAACTGTAAGTTAGAACAAATCAATAAAATGTGTTCCCTTCTGTAATACGAAAGGAAGTAGGATTTTCAGCCATGTTTAATACTTATTAATGTATGTAACCAGCATTTCCAATTATTTCCATCAGTATAGAATGCTGCATGTCTTGCCATTTGGAGAGAAAATATGTAGGATACCTACCTATAGTGCATTAGCTTCTAGTTAAGCATGACATGCTGGATCTGTCAGTTGATGAGTATTTCTGTTTGTCTTCATAATTACTCCCAATATTTATTTGAATAGGAAGGCAGAAATACTGTATTAAAGCAAGAATCTGTAATAATATTCACAATAACAGCAAATGTTGGAATAAATTGTTTGAACATTTACAGAGTTTGAGCTTGTGTGCCTCTCTTTAATACAGGACAGCACAGTAAATGAAAAAAAAGGTGTGTTATGTTGTGAAACTGGAAAATTTTTATGAAAACATCAGTATTTAGTAGGAGCTCAGAGATACTGAATGTGTCGATTATCAGCTGTTTTCCCATGCTACAATATTATTTCTTCAAATGTTAGCTAGTATTTTAGGTAGATTACTAGAAAATTTTTCATGATTTTACATTTTGCAAAACATTTTGGGAGCCTCCCTTCTCTAGTGCAATGAATCAATAAAAGAGATAGATGGAGCATAAGGATTGTGTTGATAATTAAGACAAACCTCAGAGCCTCACAATTTTTTAAGAAAACAATTACTGCATTTTACAGCGTCCAACACTATATTTTTCCCAAAATAAGTCTCGAAAATTTACCTAGCATCTTGAAAGTCGAAGGTTATGTTGCTTGTAGGTCACAATCTAAGCCTAGAAAATTGTTTCGATACTGGACAGCAATCTAAACTCCTGTATATGGCCCAATAATGAATCACAAACTAATTTGTATTAAAATAATGAATGACAAAAAAAATATAAATAATCATAAAAATTTGTTGGAACTTAGCACCAGTAGGCTACCATAAACCAGGCGAAGGAGTTGGATGGTCTTTGTGTGGTATCAGTAGACTGATTTTCCTACTTATCATCAAACCACCTGGTAATATTTTTACTTGCCTCAGATGATCTTGATATTAACCCTTTCGGGTTTCATGCTGTAGTACTACGTGATAAGCTCAGCTTACTCAGATAAGCTGTGAGCAGTAAATTTTGGCCTAGATATGAGACAATTGGTCTGTGTGGTGAGTGTGCAAGTTATCAAATAATATCCTGCCCCACAGTGCATGATAGAAAAAAACTGACTGTGCATATGGTTTAAAACAGCAACTTTATGGTGTATTTTCAGATGTTTTTATGGTTTTATTCTCACTTGATACCAAGACACTGACTTTAACATGTTTTTAGCACTGTTTCATGTAAATTTAGTGGGTTTTAGCTCATTTTAGGCAAGTCCTTTTTTTTTTTTTCTAAAATTTAGCCAGTTAGAATTGGGGCATTCTTAACACCAGAATGTCTTGCTCACCATAAAATATGGTATGCTTAAGGCACCACCCCCAAGTAGTCAGCCACAATTTTAATTCTTCAAAGACTGCCAGACCTGAAGATAAATTGTTCAACAGTTGTTTTCACTGTATTTCTTCATTCTCATGCACACTTTTAAACTCTTTAAAATCAGGGTTCATCACATGACAGAAAGTGCAAAATGGTAAAACATTGATTTAATTAATGACCCCAGTTTTTTTTTTTTTTAACAAGTCGGCCGTCTCCCACCAAGGCAGGGTGACCCAAAAAGAAAGAAAATCCCCCAAAAGAAAATACTTTCATCATCATTCAACACTTTCACCTCACTCACACATAATCACTGTTTTTTCAGAGGTGCTCAGAACACAACAGTTTAGAAGCATATACGTATAAAGATACACAACATATCCCTCCAAACTGCTTATATCCCGAACCCCTCCTTTAGAGTGCAGGCATTGTACAGTGGACCCCCGTTTTACGATCAGCTCCCAATGCGACCAATTATGTAAGTGCGTTTGTACGTGTATGTTTGGGGGTCTGAAATGAACTAATCTACTTCACAATATACCTTACGGGAACAAATTCGTTCAGTACTGGCACTTGAACATACTTCTGGAATGAAATAATATCGTAAACTGGGGGTCCACTGTAGTTCCCATTTCCAGGACTCAAGTCCGGCTATATAAAAATAACCGGTTTCCCTGAATCCCTTCATTAAATATTGCCCTGCTCACACTCCAACAGATCGTCAGGTCCCAAATACCATTCTTCTCCATTCACTCCTATCGAACACGCTTATGCACGCCTGCTGACCCCAGTTTAACAGATAAAAATCTATGTTGGACATCCACACCAGATAAACTGTGGTTGGACAACATTCGGAGAAAATGAATGTTTGTTAAATCTACAATTGTCCGCTATTCTTATGGTCCACTAGGCAAGTTTGTTAATGTACTTTGTCCATTAATGGACATTTCCAGCCTTAATGAACAAAGTAAATTAAATCCAGAATTATTCATTTTTGTTGCAGTCCACGGGGTAAACATATTTTTGGATTTAACAGACTTAGTCCATTTAATCTGAAAATTGTCTGTTCCTGTTATGATAGCAAAAAATATTCTCACAATTCAGATTTAACAGACAATTATTGTTAATGAACACTCCCTTTAAATTGACTTTTTGTTTTGAACAGTCTCCCACTGAAGAAAAACTTTCATTGTTGTTCACTCAATCACTGTCTTCCCGGAAGCCTGTCAACATCACAGCTCAGATGACCCTCCAAACTGCAGCACCACAAGCATAGCTGTATTTTTGTATTTACATAAGAGGACTTAACCCTTTCAGGGTTTCGGCCGTACTAGTACGGCTTACCACCAGGGTTATTGACGTACTAGTACGCCTAAATTCTAGCGCCCTCAAATCTAATGAGAGAAAGCTGGTAGGCCTACATATGAAAGAATGGGTCTATGTGGTCAGTGTGCACGGTATAAAAAAAATCCTGCAGCACACAGTGCGTAATGAGAAAAAAAACTTTGACCGTGTTTTTGGATTAAAACAGCAAATTTGCACTGTATTTTCGTATGGTATTTATTGTGTGATGAATGGTTTAGAAAACCGACAAGTTGAAGAATTGAGACACTTATGCAACACATGGGAATCTTTATTGAAGAAACATTTTGCCACACAGTGGCTTCATCAGTCCAATACAAAGTAGAAATGGGTAAGGAGAGGAGAAGTTTGAGGTAATCAGTCCCTCAACCTGGAATCGATGTGTTCAGTCCATCACACTTGTATTTTTTTTTTCCTACAAGTGATGGACTGAACACATCGATTCCAGGTTGAGGGACTGATTACCTCAAACTTCTCCTCTCCTTACCCATTCAAAGTGGAAAGCAAAAGAATGTAAGAGGGGCATGGAGACGTGACTAATGAACAGAGGAAATGTTATTTTAGTGCCAGGAGTGTCTTTCTTGTTTATTCTGGACCCTATTTGGAAATTGCCATCTTTTGAAATTTGTGTGAAATTGGCAAAATTGCTAAATTCTGACCACAGTATTGGATAGTTGAAATCGGTAAATGGGTGGTTTCTTGTAGTCATTCGATAGAAAAAATGGAGTTCTAACAAAATAGTTATGATTTTTGTCAACTAGTACACTGGAATTGGCCAAAAACAGGGCTCAAAGTGGGCAAAATCGCCGATGCATAAACATTGTCGAGACCGCTAACTTCGCGAGAGCATAATTCCGTAAGTTTTCCATCAAATTTCATACTTTTGGTGTCATTATGATCGGGAAAGGATTCTCTTATCTTTTCGTAAGAAAAAATTTTTTTTTTTTTTTTTGAAATTTGGCCAACCCTGAGAACAATTTTCTGAGAGGGCCTGTCGACCCTGAAAGGGATAAGCAGAATTGTTGGACAACTGTCAGGCTCATGTTACAGCTTCCTATCTACAATTAAAAATTTTATAAGTTCAAGTCTTTTTCTCTTCACGTGGCTTAAATTATTGTTGAATTTTCATTATTATGACATTGGGAACTTTTACTCTTAAATTATAAATGATATTAGAGTTGTTTTATATTATAACAATTTTGGTAAGGTTATAACAAATCATCAACCCTTTCACTGTTAGTCTTGTAATATTACAGCTTGCAAACCAGTGTCGGTCTTGTAATACTATGACAAAACTCTAGCAGCTTCCAATCTTGCAGGAGAAAGCTGGTAGGTCGGTAGGCCTACATATGAGAATGGGTCTGAGTGGTCAGTATGCACAGTATAAAAAAAAAATCCTGCAGCATGCAGTGCATAATGAGAAAAAGCTCAGACTCTGTTTTTGGTTTAAAACAGTGAATTTGTGGTGTATTTTTGTATGGTATTTATGGCTGTATTCTTGTTTTCTCGGTCTCATTTGATAGGATGGAAGATACGTATGTTACAGAGATAGAGATGATTTTTGTATGGTTTACAGACTAAAAGTACCTTGAAATTGAGCTCAGTAGCAGAAATGCTCGATTTTTGCAGATGCTCAAGAGTAAACAAATCATGTCACACATCCAATACACGTCAAGTGGTGGGTCTAATATGCCTTCACAAATGTGCTATTATTTATACCATTCTTACAATAATGCAGTAGCTGCAGAACAGTAAATCTTCTATTTTTTGTGTGAATAAAAATTAAAAATGGGAAGCAAGCGTAATATAAGAGGGGCCTGGAGACGTGACTAATGAACAGAGAAAATGCTATTTTAGTGCTACGCATGTTTGCATTGTTAATTCTGGATCCTATTTTGAAATTGGCCTTCCTTGAATTGTGTATGAAATTGGCAAAATTACAAATTTCTGATCACTTATTGGGTAGGTTTCTTGTACTCAGTCGATAGAACAAAAAGAGTTCTAGCAAATTAACTGTGAGTTTGATCAGCTGGAACAATGGAATTGTCTGAAAATAGGGCTCAAAGTGGGCGAAAATATCGCCAAGACCACTAACTTCGTGGGAGTGTAATTCCATAAGTTTTCCATCAATTTTTGCACTTTTGGTTTCATTACCATCGGGAAAAGATTCTCTTATTTCATAAGAAATTTTTTTTTTTTTTTTTAAATTCTTCAATACTGAGAGCAAGTTTGTAAGCAGGGGTCTCGACAGTGAAAGGGTTAGAAATAGCCACATTAAATTTGGTAAGCTTTCCTTCATACACATTGGTGCATTATTTACTTAATTATATATCTTATTCATGTGCTTGCTGTAAGGTTTTTGTATCACAGTAAAATCTATAAAATGTTTTGAAAACACTTGGAATTTGTGGTAGATATTGATCTCAGTTTACTTTTTTTTTTTTTTCAGAATTATGGACCAAAATGTAATTTCAAAAAACGGCGTGTGGTGCCTCAAGCTTCCTCTGGTTACCCGCTGTTCACAAAATTCATTCAGAGCCGCTTCAATACAGTTGATATTCTCCAGGGTTTTCAGACTGTTGAGCAGTGTTCTCTTGATTATCCAACAGAAAGGGGGGCTTCCATTGACCCTCATATTGATGATTGTTGGATATGGGGTGAGAGAATTCCTACTCTCAGCCTGCTGATTGACTCTACACTTACATTGAGGAAATACATGGGGCCAAACACTAAATATAATCTAACAGACACAAAAAATTACCCCATGATCATAAGAGAAAATGGTACTGTTAAAGATGATAAAGAAATTGAAATGGAACTCAATGAGCTGTATCTGAAAAACAAAAATCTGGAAGATACTAAAAACAACAAGAATAATGCGCCACCTATAAAGGACATTGAAAAAGATGTGGTACGGGTACCCATGCCACGACGTTCACTCTTAATTCTTTATGGCCCTGCCAGGTATGACTGGGAGCACGGAATATTGAGAGAAGACATACCTTCTAGAAGAGTATGCATCACTTATAGAGAACTAACGCCCACCTATCTTAGTTATGGACCTAAAGTAGAAATAGGTGAGCACATTCTAAAGGCTAGCAAATATTTCTGGGATCATGTAAAATATTATAAGTTGGGTACATAATTTTAATAAAAGTTTTTTGGTTTAAATTATTTTTGTTTCCTACATCAGTGTTAAATGACCCATGCAATTTTTTTTTTTTTTTTTTACCTAATGGTTTAAGCAGAATAGGTAGCCACTTTTCAGAATAGCCAAAATATACAATTAAAAGTTAACAAGATTTCAGTGTCATGTTTAAACAGAACAATACTGATTTCCCTACATGGATTTAGTGTTTATTACATTATTTTTGTTCACAGGTTAGCAATACATTATATAAAACTGCTGAGAATTGTTATATAGCACAGTATTCGTATCAACACTGAGTGGCCCATATTGGCTTAAAGCTTTTGTGAAATATGTGTGGTCTGCATTTAAATAAGTACGTAGTGTGTATGATGGATTATAAAGGTTTAAACATTCTGCTGATATTTAGTGAAACGACTAGACTAGTTACAAAATACTTTAATTTGTATATACTTTTATAGTAAACAATAAGAAGCTGATTAGAGAGAGGAATGTTGCAATCTAATTAAAACTGAACATAAAAAACAATAATTTTTAAGTAATACCTATTTAAAAATAAGTAAATGTTACTCTGTGTAACCAATTCCTTATTCTGATCAAATTAACAGAATTCAGAAAACAAAAGCAATATTAGTTCACTATATTAGTGTCAATTTTGAATGACCAGGTGTACAACAGTAGCTTAAGAGGATATACAGTGGACCCCCGCATAACGATGGCATCACATAGCGATTTTTCCGCATACCGATTACTTTTATCGCAAAATTTTTGCCGCGCATACCGATTAAAAACCCGCTTACCGATTTTCGTCCGAGACGCGTCCAATGTGCCCTCAGCCAGCTTCACATGTGCCGGCCGTCCCATTGTTTACCAGCCAGCCTCCGCGGTAACATCCAAGCATACACTCGGAATATTTCGTATTATTACAGTGTTTTCGGTGCTGTTTCTGGAAAATAAGTGACCATGGGCCCCAAGAAAGCTTCTAGTGCCAACCCTGTGGTAAAAAGGGTGAGAATTAGTATGGAAATTAAGAAAGATTTTGAAGGGTTTGGGGCTAACCCTGAGAAGCCTATGCCAGTTGTGGAATCCATTGTGCCTACTTCAAAGATTAAGGAAATGTGTGCACAGTGGGTTGAACTGCAAACCTTTATAGATGAAAATCACCCTGACACAGCTGTTGCAAGCCGTGCTGGTGACTATTTCAATGACAATGTTGTGGCCCATTTTAGACAAATCGTAAAGGAACGGGAGGTACAGAGCTCTATGGACAGATTTGTTGTGCGACAGAGGTCCAGTGACTCTCAAGCTGGTCCTAGTGGCATTAAAAGAAGAAGGAAGTAACCCCGGAAAAGGACTTGCTACCTCAAGTCGTAATGGAAGGGGATTCCCCTTCTAAACAGTAAGAAGATAATGCTCTCCCCTCCTCCCATCCCATCAATCATCACCAGATCTTCAATAAAAGTAAGTGTCATGTAATTGTGCATGCCTTTTTCAGTTTGTGTGTATTAAAATTAACATTTCATGTGGTAAAAAAAAATTTTTTTCATACTTTTGGGCGTCTTGCACGGATTAATTTTATTTCCATTATTTCTTATGGGGAAAATTCATTCGCATAACGATTATTTCGCATGACAATTATCCCTCTTGCACGGATTAAAATCGTTAACCGGGGGTCCACTGTATATACTGTATGCACTTAAAAAAAAATGCATTTACAGGTAAAGTTATCCAACCTGAGCTCATTTCAAAGCCCAGGTCTTGCAACCCACAACAATTGACTAACCCCTGGGTATCTATTTACTGGTAAGTGAACAGGGTCAACAGGTTTAAGATGCATGCTCAATATCTCCACTCACCCCAGGATTAAACCTGGGTCCTTTGGTTGCAAGCTGAAGGCACTACACCACTAAGCTATAAACCACCTAATGTGTAAACATAATAATTCATGATTTATTTATAAATGTAATACTCTCTTTAAATGCCTGGTTCAAGACATTCTGATAGGCTACTTTTACAAATATACAAAATGTTCATATGACTTTTAAAGCACCATGGACAACCAGCCAACAATCAGTAACATTCCACCATATGGGGTATATTGTCTGACATTCTTAGATCCTGTCAAGGCATAGTAATAGCAAGTGCCACAAAAGATTGCTGTTCCAGCTACAAATAATGCTCCAGCCTGTTGGGAAAAGAAAATGCTATATTACAATGTGTATATAAGAATATAGTAAACAAAATCAAACAAAAGGCATACTTGATACAGCAAATGGAAACAGCATATTTCCATATTTACAGCATCAAGTATATCTGTGTGCATGCACATGTTTAATAGTTCCCTCAAGGGAGGTTCCTAAACATCAGTGATGGGCTTATGATTTAAGGAATCAAATTTAACCTTTCCTTCCTAGGATTCAACCAAAGTATCTCCCATTACCCCAAGGTGCTGTATGACTCTTTATGGGTTTAATGCCCCCCAATGTGTATAATGATGAAAAATCTCCCATGACCATTAATAATAATAATAATCTAGTCATGTTCATAAGAATTTTATCAATCTTGTGTAATAATAACTACTCATTCGTAGCAAAGGCAAGTATCAGTTAAACTAGTGATCACATTTTCTACATTTCCAGTGGTTATAGCACACATTAAATGTTTCCACTTGAAGCCTTGATTTGAGTATGCTAAGGCACAAAATAACACTTGAGACGGCTATATAATGAAGTATAAAACTTTACCAAAAATATACAGCGCTGTATGACCGTTGCAGGTACAGTGCTTAGTTATGATTATAATAACTGTGAAAAATCTAGTACTTGGATTCTATTACCACCACATTACATTCAGTGCCCATCTGGTAAACCCATAGGGTTCATTCAGTACCCAGAGGGTTAATCCAAGAAAAGGCAGGACAGGTCAAATTCCCCAGATCAAGACCCCTCACTGGCATCAAAACACCACCCTTGAATGTTCATAAAAATAAAAGTAACTTTCAAAATTAGTTTCGTGGTAACTCTCCAACAAGACAATGTACAATTACAATAAAAAAGGGTCCGGACCATTGTGAAGATTTACGCAGACAAATCCCTTCAAGGTTGCATGCTTTAATCTAAGGAATTGGAGCTACCTTTCCTTCCTTAAATCAGTCCCAACTGTTTCCCATTCCCCAGGGCCTATAATTATCCTTACAGGTTTAATGGTACCCCCATGAATGTAATATGTCTATGAATGGCTGGAAATGAAAAGTTTGAAGCAAAAGTCAGTCATCCTTAGGGCATCATGTCAAAGAAGGTTTAGTTTACAAGTGAAAACTATGAACTACCATTATCCATTTGCTTCATATGGAGTTTCACTACAACTGTAACTTCTCAAGGGAGGTTCTTTCATGCCAGTGAGGGGCTCTATATCTAAGGAATTGGACCTGTGCTTCCCTTCCTTGGACCAAACCTGAATAGCTCCCATTCCCCCAGGCACTGTATGACCCTATGGTTTAGTGCAAGCCCCTTCCTCAATCCTCACAAGAATGTAATAATAACCACAAGTGAAAAAATTTAACATACACAAAAACCTATTTCTATTGCCAATAATTATTATGGTACTGTTTAACAAAAATTGTCAATGCAGTTTTCCATTACTTAATCCATTTTGCCATTGCTACTTTAACATACAGAACAGAGTATTTGTTACTTAACACAGTAATTAGTGTACAATTAATAACCTTGTCTTCAGACAACTTAATTATAAATTTAGCATTCAACTAATTTTAATTTCAATTATACATTGTCCAGAAATTTTAATGAAAATAAGAAAAAATTTTGGAGTGAGTTAAAAAAGTTAAGAAAGCCTAGGGAACGTATGGATTTGTCAGTTAAAAACAGAGTAGGGGAGTTAGTAGATGGGGAGATGGAGGTATTAGGTAGATGGCGAGAATATTTTGAGGAACTTAAATGTTGATGAAGAAAGGGAGGCAGTAATTTCATGCACTGGCCAGGGAGGTATACCATCTTTTAGGAGTGAAGAAGAGCAGAATGTAAGTGTGGGGGAGGTACGTGAGGCATTACGTAGAATGAAAGGGGTTAAAGCAGCTGGAACTGACGGGATCATGACAGAAATGTTAAAAGCAGGGGGGGATATAGTGTTGGAGTGGTTGGTACTCTTGTTTAATAAATGTATGAAAGAGGGGAAGGTACCTAGAGACTGGCGGAGAGCATGTATAGTCCCTTTATATAAAGGGAAGAGGGACAAAAGAGATCGTAAAAATTATAGAGGAATTAGTTTACTGAGTATACCAGGAAAATTGTATGGTAGGGTTATTATTGAAAGAATTAGAGGTAAGACAGAATATAGGATTGCGGATAAGCAAGGAGGTTTTAGAGTGGGTAGGGGATGTGTTGATCAGGTGTTTACACTGAAGCATAAATGTGAACAGTATTTAGATAAAGGCAGGGAAGTTTTTATTGCATTTATGGATTTAGAAAAGGCATATGATAGAGTGGATAGGGGAGCAATGTGGCAGATGTTGCAAGTATATGGAATAGGTGGTAAGTTACGAAATGCTGTAAAGAGTTTTTATGAGGATAGTGAGGCTCAGGTTAGGGTGTGTAGAAGAGAGGGAGACTACTTCTCAGTAAAAGTAGGTCTTAGACAGGGATGTGTAATGTCACCATGGTTGTTTAATATATATATGGATGGGGTTGTAAAAGAAGTAAATGCTAGGGCATTTGGGAGAGGGGTGGGATTAAATTATGGGGAATCAAATACAAAATGGGAATGGATGCAGTTACTTTTTGCTGATGATACTGTGCTTATGGGAGATTCTAAAGAAAAATTGCAAAGGTTAGTGGATGAGTTTGGGAGTGTGTGTAGAGGTAGAAAGTTAAAAGTGAACATAGAAAAGAATAAGGTGATGAGGGTATCAAGTGATTTAGATAAAGAAAAATTGGATATCATATTGGAGAGGAGGAATATGGAAGAAGTGAATGTTTTCAGATATTTCGGAGTTGACGTGTCAGCGGATAGATTTATGAAGGATGAGGTTAATCACAGAATTGATGAAGGAAAAAAAGGTGAGCGGTGCGTTGAGGTATATGTGGAGACAAAGAACGTTATCTATGGAGGCAAAGAAGGGAATGTTTAAAAGTATAGTGGTACCAACACTGTTATATGGGTGTGAAGCTTGGGTGGTAAATGCAGCAGCAAGGAGATGGAGGCAGTGGAGCTGTCCTGTCTAAGAGCAATGTGTGGTGTAAATATTATGCAGAAAATTCGGAGTGTGGAAATTAGGAGAAGGTATGGAGTTAATAAAAGTATTAGTCAGAGGGCCGAAGAGGGGTTGTTGAGGTGGTTTGGTCATTTAGAGAGAATGGATCAAAGTAGAATGACATGGAGAGTGTATAAATCTATAGAGGAAGGAAGGTGGGGTAGGGGTCGTCCTCGAAAAGGTTGGAGGGAGAGGGTAAAGGAGGTTTTGTGGGCGAGGGGCTTGGGTTTCCAGCAAGCATGCGTGAGCGTGTTAGATAGGAGTGAATGGAGACGAATGGTACTTGGGACCTGACGAGCTGTCAGAGTGTGAGCAGGGTAATATTTAGTGAAGGGATTCAGGGAAACCGGTTATTTTTATATAGTCGGACTTAAGTCCTGGAAATGGGAAGTACAATGCCTGCACTATAAAAGAGGGGTTTGGGATACTGGCAGTTTGGAGGGATAAGTTGTGTATCTTTATACATATATACTTCTAAACAGTTGTATTCTGAGCACCTCTGCAAAAACAGTGATTATGTGTGAGTGTGGTGAAAGTGTTGAATGATGATGAAAGTATTTTCTTTTTGGGGATTTTCTTTCTTTTTAGGTCACCCTGCCTCGGTGGGAGACGGCCGACTTGTTTAAAAAAAAAAAAAATAGGTTTATGCTTTAGTTTTAGTCTGCCCAAAATGCTCTGTATAACCCAAATGTCATCTAATTTTGCAACAGTTGTGTACATTTCAGAATTAAAATTTGTTTTAAATTATTACAGAATTACAGACTAAATAGTACAGTACTATTCCATGAAAAACATTTTAATTTTTATACAACAATATGAATTCAAAGTAGAATGACATGGAAAGCATATAAATCTATAGGGGAAGGAAAGAGGGGTAGGGGTCGTCCTCGAAAGGGTTGGAAAGAGGGGGTAAAGGTTTTGTGGGCGAGGGGCTTGGACTTCCAGCAAGCGTGCATGATCGTGTTAGATAGGAGTGAATGGAGACGAATGGTACTTGGGACCTGACGATCTGTTGGAGTGTGAGCAGGGTAATATTTAGTGAAGGGATTCAGGGAAACCGGTTACTTTCATATAGTCGGACTTGAGTCCTGGAAATGGGAAGTACAATGCCTGCACTTTAAAGGAGTGGTTTGGGATATTGGCAGTTTGGAGGGATATGTTGTGTATCTTTATGTGTATATGCTTCTAAACTGTTGTATTCTGGGCACCTCTGCAAAAGCAGTGATAATGTGTGAGTGTGGTGAAAGTGTTGATTGATGATGAAAGTATTTTCTTTTTGGGGATTTTCTTTCTTTTTTGGGTCACCCTGCCTCGGTGGGAGACGACCGATTTGTTGGAAAAAAAAAAAAAAATGAATTCAATCTTAAGCATTTAATTAAAATTCACACTAACCAGTTTGGGTCGTCTACAAAGAGGAACACCAAGTAAGGCGAGTGTGTGTAGAAAGTGGTACCGGTTAGCAGTTTCATACACCTGCTTCAGTTCCTCAGGATATTCTCGTCGGTAAAACACTGAGGTAGTAAAACAAATATATTTAATTCTTTATAGGTAATATATACATGCATATACATACAAACACACACACTGTTTTTAAACCTCAACTGCCATCTCCCACCAAGGTAGTATGACACAAAAAAAATTTCATTATCACCATCCATTTATTACTATTATTATTATTATTATTTAGCAAGCACAAAACCCAAGAATGTACTTTTCACTTTAACAAACAACAGCTATCCAGAAAGGAAGCTGCAGAATTTATGAAGTTTTTTCTAGTAAGGTCACAGTCAGCACTTTTCATGAAAAGTTGTGTACAATAATGCATACTAACATTCACAACTCAAAACAATAAAATTAATTCAAACCAATAATTACACAAAGAAATACCCTCACCACAATTTTAAAAATGCTCACCTCAATTAGAAAGCCTGTTAAATCATTTAAGTCAAGTCCCCCCTAAAAAATTATCATGAGGTTCTGTACAGGTACCTGAGTAATTGTTCAAACCATGATTTGGGTGAAAAGGTAAACAATGCCCGCAAGTAACCACAAATGGAGGATAACCAATCACATATTTAGTACAGAAGAAACTCACTAGTCTACATACAGTGGTACCTTGACTTACAAGTTTAATTCGTTCCGTGACCGAGCTCGTAACTCAATCTGCTCGTATATCAAATCAATTTTCCTCATTAAATTAATTGAAATGCGATTAATCCATTCCAGCCCCCAAAAAACCCGAGTCTCAAGGGGCAGGAGAAAATATTTCAATATATGGAAGAAGTGAATGTTTTCAGATATTTGGGAGTTGACGTGACAGCGGATGGATTTATGAAGGATGAGGTTAATCACAATTGATGAAGGAAAAAAGGCGAGTGGTGCGTTGAGGTATATGTGGAGACAAAGAACGTTATCTATGGAGGCAAAGAAGGGAATGTATGAAAATATAGTATTACCAACACTCTTATATGGGTGTGAAGCTTGGGTTGTAAATGCTGCAGTGAGGAGGCGGTTGGAGGCAGTGGAGATGTCCTGTCTAAGGGCAATGTGTGGTGTAAATATTATGCAGAAAATTCGGAGTGTGGAAATTAGGAGAAGGTGTGGAGTTAATAAAAGTATTAGTCAGAGGGCTGAAGAGGGGTTATTGAGGTGGTTTGGTCATTTAGAGAGAATGGATCAAAGTAGAAAGACATGGAGAGCGTATAAATCTGTAGGGGAAGGAAGGTAGAGTAGGGGTCGTCCTCGAAAAGGTTGGAGGGAGGGGGTAAAGGTTGTTTTGTGGGCGAGGGGCTTGGACTTTCAACAAGCGTGCATGAGCGTGTTAGATAGGAGTGAACGGAGACAAATGGTATTTGGGACCTGACGAGCTGTTGGAGTGTGAGCAGGGTAATATTTAGTGAAGGGACTCAGGGAAACCTGTTATTTTTATATAGCCGGACTTGAGTCCTGGAAATGGGAAGTACAATGCCTGCACTTTAAAGGAGGGGTTTGGGATATTGGCAGTTTGGAGGGATATGTTGTGTATCTTTATATGTGTGTGATGAATGGTTTGAAAAACCATCAAGTTGAAGATTGAGACACTTATGTTGCATAAGTGTCTAAATCTTCAACTTGTCGGTTTTTCAAACCATTCATCACAATTGTCAGACACTGCAGCATCATGGGATCTTGTTACAAAGAATTCTTCAACACTTGTCCAACCTTCGGACGAAGACCTACTTCGACTAGTGGATGATACCACTGTGAACCCACCTCCTCCTGCTTCGCCTCACCTCACTACAGTATATAAGCCACGTCTACGGGCCTATACCGTACATTTTACAAGATTGATGGACTGAACACATCGACTCCAGGCTGAGGGACTGATTACCTCAAACTCCTCTTCTCCTTACACCTTTCTACTTTGTATTGGACTGATGAAGCTACTGTGTGGCGAAACGTTTCCTGAATAAAGATTCCCATATGTTGCATAAGTGTCTCAATCTTCATCTTTATATGTATATGCTTCTAAACTGTTGTATTCTGAGCACCTCTGCAAAAACAGTGATTATGTGTGAGTGAGGTGAAAGTGTTGAATGATGATGAAAGTACTTTTTTTTCGGGGATTTTCTTTCTTTTTGGGTCACCTTGCCTCGATGGGAGACTGCAGACTTGTTAAAAAAAAAAAAAAAAAAGCTAATATAAACTCTACGTCTTATTTTTCTATCAGAACTGATCTAATTTGACATAATGAACACTATAAGTAACATAGATATGTGATACATATACTCTAGAATGAATAAAATAGGCCATAATATGGCGAGTGTCCAGGACCAGTCTGAGCATATAATATCATTACTACTTCTTCCTATAACATGTTCTTTGGTCCTGGGTAAGAGAAAATGGAGTTTTTGAGAGGCTAACTGCACTAGATCACTAGTTTCATAAGGAAAACACTAAAACAAAAATGATTGTTCTACAATTGGCTTGTGGAATATTGGAAATATTCCAAATACTATAAAAGTGCTATGATGTTCTTTATTCTACACTTATGCTATACTAACTCATTTATCCATATCTTTCTTAAGGGATAAATAAATGGGATCAGCAAATTATAATATCTATACATTAGACTTAAAAGTACTCTTACTCAAACTGGTAGTCATTAAGACTTACCAAACTCAAGCCATTGAAAATATACTGTACCTTTGTTCAAGCATGTGAGTGAAAATATTTATATTATATTATCACACTGGCCGATTCCCACCAAGGCAGGGTGGCCCGAAAAAGAAAAACTTTCACCATCATTCACTCCATCACTGTTTTGCCAGAAGGGTGCTTTACACTACAGTTTTTAAACTGCAACATTAACACCCCTCCTTCAGAGTGCAGGCACTGTACTTCCCATCTCCAGGACTCAAGTCCGGCCTGCCGGTTTCCCTGAATCCCTTCATAAATGTTACTTTGCTCACACTCCAACAGCTCGTCAAGTATTAAAAACCATTTGTCTCCATTCACTCTTATCAAACACGCTCACTCATGCCGTGCTGGAAGGCCAAGCCCCTCGAACACAAAACCTCCTGTACCCCGCCCTCCAACGTTTTTCCTAGGCCGACCCCGACCCCGCCTTCCTTCCACTACAGACTGATACACTCTTGAATCACTCGGTGTCGCTCCATTCTCTCTACATGTCCGAACCACCGCAACAACCCTTCCCTCACCCTCTGACACAATTTTGGTAATCCCGCACCTCCTCCTAACTTCAAACTACGAATTCGCGGCATTATAATGCACACCACACACTGCCCTCACACATGAACATCTCCACTGCCGCCTCCAGCCGTCTCCTCGATGCAACATTCACAATCCATGCTTCACACCCATATAAGAGCATTGGTAAAACTATAACTCTCATACATTCACTTTTCCTCTCGTATGCCTCCAAGTACAAAGTTCCTTTTTCCTCCACAACGCCGAATGCACCACTCAGCCCTTTTCTCCCTCAGCAAGTCTATGATGCTACCTCATCTTTCATAGACCCACCACTGTCACGTCCCACTCCCAAATTCTGAATACATTCACCTCCTCCATACTCTCTCCCTCCATCTGATATCCAATCGTTCTCACCTAATCGTTTGATCCTCCATAAACCTTACTCTAGTTCCGGTGATTCCACGTTAATTTTCGTCTGTTGCACACCTAACCAAATTCATCCACCAATCTCGGCAACTTCTCTTCAGAATCTCCCAAGAGCACAGTGTCAGCACTAAGAGCAACTGTGACCAACCTCCACTTATGGTTTTTGGGGGGGGGGGGGGGGGGGGGGGGGGGGGTGAGTCTTTAGCTTTTCCTCCAACCCTCTTGCCACGACCTTCGCATTTACTTCTCTTACAACCCAAATCTTTATAAATATTTAACAACCACGTGACATCACCACATCCTTGTCTAAGGCCTACTTTTACTGGAAATAATTTCCCTCTTGCCTTCATACTCTAACTTGAGCCTCACTATCCTCGTAAAACTTCTTCACTGCTTTCAGTACCTACCTCCTACACCATACACCTGCAACCATCTGCCACATTGCCCCCCTATCCACCCTGTCCATATGCTTTTCAAATCCAAAATGCCACAAAGACCTCTTTTAAGCCTGATCTAAATACGTCACTTATATTTTCGGTAACACACCTGGTCCACACACCCCCTACCTTTCCCCCTGAAAAAAGCCCCCGCCCGTGTTCATCGCGATTCCTATTCTTCCCGTCCTACTCTTAAGTCTTTCAATAATAACTCTACCATTACACTTTACCAGGTATACTCAACAGACTTATCCCCCTAAATTTTTGCACTCCTCTTTTGTCCCCACTTTGGCCTGAGACAAAGGAACGATGCATGCTCTCTCCAATCCCCTAGGTACCTACCCTCTTCCATACATTTATTAAATAATTGCACAAACCACTCCAAAGCTAATCCCCCCAAACCCCCCCACCCGTTGGGGAGATAGTTTTGGCAGACGATGCAAAACAGTCCCCCAATGAAAAACAGGGGTGCCCACTAGCCACTTAAGAGACCATACAATAATGTCCATGGCCCTGAACTGTTCAACTGCTCCCTGCAACATAAGGGGGATTACCAACTAGACCCCGGCAGTCTGTCAAGCCTGTACGGGACAAGCACAAAGTCGGTTTCTGAGCAGCCCGGGCTGTGGCTCCGTACGGTTGTGGTTTGCGTGCAGCCAGCCAGCAACAGCCGGTTGATCAGGCTCTGATCCACCCAGGCGGCCTGGTCACAGCCCGGGCCGCGGGGGCGTTGACCCCGAATTCCTCTCCAGGTAAACCACCAGCCTTTTAACATTTCCTATCTTTATCCCATCAATCTCGGCTGCCTACCCCCACTTCATTGTTACCTACTGCCTCACTAACTTCCCCCACACTCCACAACTGGCTCCTTCCTCACTCCTACAAGATGTTATACTCCTTGCCCTATACACGAAATCACAGCTCCCTATCTTCATCAACATTTAACAATTCCCAAAATAGTCCCTCCATCTCCCAATACCTCTAACTCCCATTTAATAACTCCCTCTCCGTATTTTCGTAACTGACAAATCCATTGTTCTCTAGGCTTCCTTAACTTGTACATCTCACTCCAAAACTTTTTCTTATTTTCAACAAAATTTGTTGATAACATCTCACCCCTCTCTCGTTTGCTCTCTTTTTTACTTTTGCTTCTACACTCTCTTAACCTCTCTCTTTTTCTCCATATACTCTTCCCTCCCTTGCATCACTTCTACTTTGTAAAACTTCTCATATGCTAACTTTTTCTCCCTTACTGCTCTATTTACATCAATCATTCCACCAATCGCTCCTCTTCCCTCCCTCACCCACTTTCCTGTAACCACAAACTTCTGCTGAACACTCTAACACTACATTTTTAAACCTACCCCATACCTCTTTGACCCCATTGCCTATGCTCTCATTAGCCCATCTATCCTCCAATAGCTGTTTTATATCTTACCCCTAACTGCCTCTCCTCTTTTGTTTATAAACCTTCACCTCTCTCTTCCTGATGCTTCTATTCTCCTTGTATCCCATCACCTTTTACTCTCAGTGTAGCTACAACTAGAAAGTGATCTGATATATCTGTGGCTCCTCTATAAACATATACATCCTGAAGTCTACTCAACAGTCTTTTATCTACCAATACATAATCCAACAAACTACTGTCATTTCGCCCTACATCATATCTTGTATACTTATTTATCCTCTTTTTCTTAAAATATGTATTACCTATAACTAAACCCCTTTCTATACAAAGTTCAATCAAAGGGCTCCCATTATCATTTACACCTGACACCCCAAACTTACCTACCACACCCTCTCTAAAAGTTTCTCCTACTTTAGCATTCAGGTCCCCTACCACAATTACTCTCTCATTTGGTTCAAAGGCTCCTATACATTCACTTAACATCTCCCAAAATCTCTCTCTCTCCTCTGCATTCCTCTCTTCTCCCAGGTGCATAAACGCTTATTATGACCCACTTTTCGCATCCAACCTTTACTTTAATCCACATAATTCTTGAATTTACACATTCATATTCTCTTTTCTCCTTCCACAACTGATCCTTCAACATTACTGCTACCCCTTCCTTTGCTCTAACTCTCTCAGATACTCCAGATTTAATCCCATTTATTTCCCCCCCACCGAAACTCCCCTACCCCCTTCAGCTTTGTTTCGCTTAGGGCCAGGACATCCAACTTCTTTCATTCATAACATCAGCAATCATCTGTTTCTTGTCATCCGCACTACATCCACGCACATTCAAGCATCGCAGTTTTATAAAGTTTTTCTTCTTCTCTTTTTTAGTAAATGTCTACAGGAGAAGGGGTTACTAGCCCATTGCTCCCGGCATTTTAGTCGCCTCATGCGACACGCTTGGCTTACGGAGGAAAGATTCTTTTCCACTTCCCCATGGACAATAGAAGAAATAAAGAGGAACAAGAGCTATTTAGAAAAAGGAGAAAAACCTAGATGTATGTATATATACATGCATGTGCGTGTCTGTGAAGTGTGACCAAAGTGTAAGTAGGAGTAGCAAGATATCCCTGTTATCTAGCATGTTTATGAGACAGAAAAAGAAACCAGCAATCCTACCATCATGCAAAACAGTTACAGGTTTCTGTTTCACAGTCATCTGGCAGGACGGTAGTACTTCCCTGGGTTATTATGTACAGTTATTATGGTGTGAAAATCACACCATAATAACTGTACATAAAAATACACAGATATAACATTATTATATTATTTGGGAATGGAAGGTAATCAGGATTGATTTAAGCAAGAGGAGGATTGCTCTAATTCTTTGTATCAAGAGCCCTTCATCAGCATCAAGGTGACCTCCTTGAAGGGGATACTGTTTTACTGTAGTAAACAGAATCTGAAATAAAAATTACTGCCTTTACTCACCATGAGCACCATATGCACCAAGTGCAACAGCTGCAGCGCCTGAAATTCCAGCAATGCGAATGAACCATCGTGCATACGAGGGAATGTTCAGCATATCTGATGAAACTTTTGTAACTACCTGATTAATATTGCTCTGAAAACAAAGAAAAATAAAAAATAATTTTCTAATTTTTTTTTAAAACTACTTTCTATATTGTGTTCCATAAATGCTCAATGAGAATTACAACCTGTCTGTACATCCTCTGCAACACAAGTAACATTCTGAGACCATTTTGCTAACATTAATAAGCTGCTACCAACAGGAAATGCAGCAAATGAGACACTGTGGAATAATTAGTACCACCTGTTGCTACTGGATCTAAGGTACAGTGTCTATACATTACAAAGAACATAATCACAATACATAATAAGTAGCTACATTCCAAACCATATCCAGAATTCAATCCAAGCCAGAGGTTATAAGTCAGGCATGGCAGATGTCCATGGAAACAGCAGCATCACCAGCAGCTGTGGGTGTCAGCAGCAGAGTAGGGCGAGATGCAGCAAAGGAAGGGCATAATTTGGTTTTGGAGTCCATTAATAACATGGAACATTCATAATCTGTGTGGGTTGCATTCCTGAAAACTGCACTAAAAATGATTTCTGTGACTAATGGACTTTTAAAACATATGGAGAAAAATAGGGTTATGTTCCTTAAACATTCAAAAGTAAGTGTTAAGAGAGAGTGCTGAGTGACAGTGATAAGAGAGGTCTACTTGTAACTAGTGAGTGGTTGAGTTACCATGATGGTTTTAACATCAAGGTAAATCACACATAAGTTACTGGTTATAATTATTGTAACACCTAAATATTGTAACTGGCATCTAAATAAACTTACAGGGTGCTTAAGTGTGGTAGTGAGGTGATGACTGGTATGACGACTGGCATGGTGATAAGAGAGGAACTAGTGACGAGTGGCATGATATACAGTGGACCCCCGGTTAACGATTTTAATCCGTGCAAGAGGGGTAATTGTTATTGCGAAATACTTATGTGAATGAATTTTTCCCCATAAGAAATAAATGGAAGTAAAATTAATCCCTGCAAGACACCCAAAAGTATGAAAAAACAAATTTACCCACTGAAATATACATTTTCCTCACACACAAAGAGAGGCTACATGCACAATCGTAGGAGTACATGCACAGTATATATTTGCATGTACTAGTCTACTAAATGAAGAATAAATGACACTTACCTTTTATTGAAGATGCAGCAATGACTGATGAGACGACTGTGTCCTGGGGTGCCTATTCCTGCTGAGTACGTAAATCCTGTTTGGCATTTTCTTCCAGAACAGGCCTTATCACACTGGTATGCCACTACGATCTTAAATCTCTCAAACCAACCTTTGCTGGCGAGAGAGCGCGATCTTCACCAATATGAGCACTAGTTCCCAGGCATTTTTCCGTTCACCTGGGTGTTAGTCGACTGTGTGGGTTGCATCCCTGGAGAATAAGATTAAGTACCCCCAATGGAATAAGTTAGACAGTTTTCGATGACACTGACTTTTTTGGTATCCTGGTGCAAATCTCCTGGGGTTTAATTGTTTCTTGGTATACTCATAAGCCACACCAACAACGGTGCTACAGCAGCAGCAGCAGCTGACAGTGCCTTCAGGCAGCACAGCTGACAGTGCAGCAGCAGCAGCAGCTGTACCACCAATATTACGATGGTTGATTGGGTATTATTATACAACCTGGCCAGCTCGGAGACATGCACTCCACTTTCATACTTATCATTGATCTTTTTTCTCATCTCTATTGAATTCTCGACCCTTATTGCTGTAGGGTTGGCCTAGAATGCATTCTTGGGCCCATGTCACTTATTTTTCCAGAAAAGCACCGAAAACACCGTAATATACGAAATATAATCCGATTGTAAGCTTGGATGTCACCGCGGAGGCTGCTGGTAAAACTAATGCACCGCGGAACATTGAGCGCGTCTCGAAGAAAATCGGTAAGCGGTTTTAAGCGGTATGAGAGGCAAATTTTGCAATTAAAGTAAGCGTCTGCGAAATAATCGCTATGTGATGCCAATCGTATGCGGGGTCCCACTGTATCAACTACCAGTACAGTGGTCAGGAATTTAGAAATTTTGCCAATTTCACACAAATTCAAAAGATGCCAATTTCCGAATAGGGTCCAGAATAAACAAGAAAGACATTCCTGGCACTAAAATGACATTTCCTCTAGTCATTAGTCACGTCCTCAAGGCCCCTCTATATTCTTTTGCTTTCCACTTTGAATTTTTATTTTCACAAAAAATATAAGATTTACTGTTATGCAGACTACTGCATTAGTGATAAAAATGGTATAAATATTATTGGTGCACTTGTGAAAGAATATTAGACTCACCAGTTGACGTGTATTGCACGCTTGGCACGATTTGTTTACTTTTGAAGTTTGGTAAAATCGAACATTTCTGCTACTTTGAGCTCAATTTCAAGGCACCTTTCTTTGTAAAACCAGTCAAAATCATCTCTATTTCTGTAATATGTCTTCCATTCTATAAATGAGACCAAGAAAACTAGAATACAACAATAAATACCATACGAAAATACACTGCAAAGTCGCTGATTTATTAAAAAAAAAATGGTCAAAGTTTTTTTTTCTCATTATGCACTGTGTGCTGCAGGATTTTTTTTAGACTGTGCACACTGACCACATAGACCCATTCTTTCATATGAAGGCCTACCAGCTTTCTCCCACTAGATTTGAGGCCGCTAGAATTTATGAGTACTAGTACGTCAAAAACCCCTACGCGTAAGACGTACTAGTACGACGAAAACCCTCAAAGGGTTAAACATTCAAAAGTAAGTGTTAAGAGAGAGTGCTGAGAGACAGTGATAAGAGAGGTCTACTTGGTAACTAGTGAGGTGGTTGAGTTACCATGATGGGTTACTCTAGGTAATTCACACATATGTTACTGTGTATAATTATTGTAATCACCTAAATATGTGTAACTGCATCTAAATAAACTTACAGGGTGCTTAAGTGTGGTAGTGAGGTGATGACTGGTATGACGACTGGCATGGTGATAAGAGGGGAACTAGTGACGAGTGGCATGATATACAAGGTAAAATATCTAGCATAGACAGGACTCGCAGCAATGGTTTTAAATTGGAAAAATTCAGATTCAGGAAAGATATAGGAAAGTACTGGTTTGGTAATAGAGGTGTGGACGAGTAGAACAAACTCCCGAGTACCGTCATAGAAGCTAAGACGTTGTGTAGTTTTAAAAATAGGTTGAATAAATACATGAGTGGGTGTGGGTGGATGTGAGTTGGACCTGACTAGCTTGTGCTACTAGGTCGGATGCCGTGCTCCTCCCTGATGTGAATGTAACTGACCTCACTAGGTCAAGGCACTGGCGTAAGCCGGTGGGAGAATTGGACCTGCCTCGCGTGGTCTGCTGCAGTGTTCCTTCTTTCTTATGTTCTTACGTAATGGTAATGAGTGATACGGTGGTAAGTAGCTGGGTTGGTAGCGTACTCAGCTAAGTAAGTTTATTCAGGTATACACAAATACAGTTACATAGATTATCATACATAGCAGCATATGTGTAGAGAACTTAGGATAACCCAAAAAAGTCAGAGTGACACACTAAGGTCCATGGTTCCATTCCCAGTACGGGTGGAAACATTGGGCGTGATTTCTTGAGACACCTGCTGTCACTGTTCACCTAGCAGGAAATAGGTACCTGGGTGTTAGTCGCATCCTGGGGCAAAAATTAACCTAATTTGCCCGAAATGCTCTGGATAACCAGGGTCTTTCTATATAGTATATAAATGATGTCAGCCTAGGTCTGTGTAGGTTGCATCATTTATGTGTAAAAATAAAGATAATTATTATTATTATTATAAGGTAGCAGTGATGAGTGACAATATGTCAGGTAATGCTGATGAATGATATTGTGATAAGGTAGTAGTGATGAATGACATGGTGATAAGTAAAGTAGAAGTGATGAGTGGGATGATGGTGATGATTAAGGTGGTAACAGTAAAGGAATCAAGGTAAGTATTGAGATGCTTCACCTTACGATCAGTCCAGAGAAGTTCTGCTACTTTCTTGGGGCACCTGACAGCTTCACGAGTGATGTAGTTATTCCACAACCACGAGTATTTATCCCCCACCATCTGGCCTTCCTTCCAGATTATGTTACTGTCGTTCTTCCTAACAAGATTGTTAATCTCAGCCTCACAAGATGTTTCTCTCAGCTGTATGAAGGTGGTCAGGCTGGACCGGAGCAGCGACCACATCTGACTCACACTTCTCCCAATGAACAAACCAAAGGTCAAGAGAAAATTATAATCATATCGTTCAATATTAATGGCTTTTCTTTGTTTTTATATACAAATATACCTTTAAACAGTAAAACAGTGAGACAAATATCATTTCAAACAAATCTAATTACAGCATATTTGAGAAAGGATAGGCTGCGATACTATATATTAATCTACTTTGACTCTTTTTTAGTTATTATAGGTAATTTACATATTTATGATAATGGTACTATGTGTACCTGTGCCTAAGTTAAGTTACATATTTACTTGTTTCAAATACAAATGCAAATAATGATTTTTTCTGCAATGTTTTATTACATGTAGTGTACATGTAATAAAACATAGTTAGGTACAATTATTATTATTATTATAATCACAGGGAAGCGCTATACCCGTAGGGTTATACAGCGCATGTGGGGGGGATGGAAGGTATTCAGGTTCATTTCAGGGAACTGGAGCACAGATCCAATTCCCTAGATCAAGAGCCCCTCACCAGCATCAAGGAACCTCCCTTGAGGGGAGTTAGGTACAAGAGTAAGCCCCTACGAAAATAAATCAAGGACCCCAATAGAAATAAGACAACAGAAGCCAATATGTGTACGCAAATGGGGCAAGCTCTTCCGCACAACCAATTACAGTTGGTGTCCCACAGGGAAGTGTCCTTGGCCCTGTTCTCTTTCTCCTATACATAAATGACCTACCAAATGCTTCGCAATTACTCAAACCCACACTTTTTGCAGATGACACTACATACGTCTTCTCTCACCCGAGCCCAGTCACGCTAGCCAATACTGTAAACACCGAACTACAGAAAATATCTACCTGGATGAGGACTAACAAACTTACATTAAACATTGACAAAACCTACTTCATTCAGTTTGGTAACAGAGCTACAGATGTACCTCTTAACATAACGATAAACGGATCACCTATCACAAAGCTAACAGAGGGAAAATTCTTAGGAATCCACCTCGATAATAGCCCCCAAATTTCATACACTTAAAAAAACAAATTTCTAAGAAAATTTCCAAAAACTTGGGCAACAATCAAGATACGGAAACTTTTTTTTCCACAGTAAACCCCCCGGGGCCCTTTATCCCTCTTTTTTACCCCTATCCACCTATGGAAGTGGCATGGGGCTAAAACAACAATAAACCATCCGGGAACCCAAAATTACCCAAAAAAAGGTTTGCAGTTAGAATGTTTAACAAATTCTCACTACAGGCGCACATTTCCCCCCCAAATTTTCAAAAACTAAACCTACTCACCTACAAAAAAAACCTTTATTTAATTATTGCACTTATTACATACATAGAACACTTAATTTCTGATTTTAAACCCCCCCCCTCAAACTCTTGCCAACCTAAACCCAAAACCCACATGATCATAATACAAGCCCCCAATCACCTTTGATGTTCCTCTGTTCACCAAACATGCAAAAACTAAATTGCACTTTTAAAAGGCCCTAAAATCTGGAACCCATTACCTGAAAATTTAAAAAGAAACACAACCTTTTTAAAAATTTTTCCAAGTCTCTTCTCAAAGTTCACTTCCCTAAAAACCAAAAAAAATACTGAATAATTTAAAACCAAAAAAATTTTTATACCCCTAAATTTTACTCAAAATTAATCCCCAAAAAATGTTAAACCTAACTTTGTTATTTTTTTTTTTAAGAAAAAACATAAAAAACATAAGAACAAAGGGAAAACACTCAGAAGGCCTACGGGCCCCAAAGCGGGGCGGGTTCCAAGTCCCTCCCGGGCCCTTAAGCCAATCCCACCCAACCAAAGTCGGGTTCAGGTCAAAATTGACTTAAGGGAGGAACAGGGCAACCGACCTGTTAGCACAATTTTTAAATCAGGTCTAACTCACCCCACCCACATCTACTCATGTTTTTTATCCAACCTATTTTAAAAACCCTACACAACTTTCTGGCCTCTATAACGGTACTTGGGAGTTTGTTCCACTCATCCACAACCTAAATTTCCAAAACCCGTAACTTTCCTATATCCCCCCCTAATCTGAATTTTTCCAACTTAAAAAACCCTTGCTGCAATCCGCTAGGGTAGATTTTTTCAGCCACTATTTACATTTCCCCCTTTTTTTTTTTTCCTGTCCCTTTCCCCCTTTTAAACCCAAATCATACCCCCCCTAATTCTACGTCTTTCTAAAAGAGTGCAGTTTCAGGGCCCTTAAAATCTATCCTCAAGGGAAGGTTTCCCGATACATGGCATATCTTTTTCATCCCCCTTTGTACATTTTCCAGAGAATTTTTTATCCATTCCGGAATAAAAGGTACCAAAACTGTGGGAGCAAAACAAAAAGGCCTAACCAAAATGTTAAAAGTTGAAAAAACAACCTGAGGGCTTCCCATTATTTTTCTTCTTGATAAAGCCAAGGATTCTTTAGCTTTATTTTCGAACACTTTTTTTCACTGTTGTCTTGGTTTCAGATTTTCTTTCAACCCCGAACTCCCAAAAAATTTTTCGGGAAAAAGTAAAATTTTAAAATCTACATTATTTAGTTTATATTGGCATGGTTTTTGTCCTTTCCCAACATTTAGGGAACTTGGGATTTTTTTTTTTTTTAAACTGCATCTGCCACTTTTTCCACCACTGCATCCCGTCTATTCAAATCTTCCCGGGTTTCTTCCCAATGGGCCCCGTCAGAATGAATTCGACGGCCTATTTTTTTTGTCACGGCAACCTTTTTGAAGTCGCTCTTTTTGCCCCCATCTATGTCTTTATGGGAGATTTTGAACAGCAGGGGGCCCCCAAAACTGGGCCCCTGTGGAAACACCCCCTCGTGACCCTTTCCCCAACCCCGATTTCTCCCCATTTATCAAACTCTCCCCTGCCTATTTGGGCCAAACCCTGCCTCTATCCGAAAAAATTTCCCCCCTCCCCAATTTTTATGTGCTTTAATTTTTCCCCAATAGTCCCCTGGGTGTGGGACCCTTTCAAAAGCCTTTCGAAGTCCATATACACAATATCATATTCATTACCATGATCTACCTCCTCAAATACCTTAGTGAAAAAAGTTAATAAATTCGTAAGGCAGGAACGCCCCTTTGTAAAACCATGCTGAATTCGTTGATTAATTTATGCTTTTCAGGTGGCTACGAACTGCCTCGGCAATTATTGATTCCATAAATTTTCCCACTATGGAGGTTAGGCTTTTTGGGTCTATAGTTCGAAGCTAAGGACCTGTCACCTTTTTGAAAATAGGTATCACTTTTGCCATTTCCACTTATCTGGCACCATCCCAGTTTGTAGTGAAAGTTGAAAAGATTAGCCAAAGGTGTGCTAAGCTCCTCTTTACATTCCTTTAGAACCCTTGCATACAGTTCATCAGGGGGCCCGGGGATTTGTTAGGTTTTAATTTATCTATTTTTCCTAAGGCCATGTCACTTGTGACCCAATAGTGCACAGTTTATTATCGTCCTGTTCTACATAATTTATCATTACTGGAATATCGCTGGTATCCTCCTGTGTAAAAACTGGGGAGGAAGTATGTGTTAAAAATTCTACACATTTCCTTATCACTGTCAGTGAGCTGACCCGAGGAACTTTTGAGTGGGCCTATCTTGTCCCTGATCTTACTTCGTAACCTGAAAGAATCCTTTTGGGTTAGTCTTCGATTCTTTTTGCAACTTTAACCTCATAATCTCTTTTTGCTTTTATAATTCCCTTTTTTATTTCTCTCTTTAACTGAATATATCGATTTCTTAATTGCCCCTCTCCTCTTTTGATTTGCCTATATATGCCTCTCTTTTGACCAATCAAATATTTTAATCTTTTGTTCATCCATTAGGATTTTTTTTGTTTGATCTGTTTCCTTTTTGGAACATAATTTGACTGAGCAGCTAGAACATCCCCTGGAAAGCACTATCGGAAACCCATCACCCCCCTACCGACCCAAGGTCATTCCATTCAGCCCCCCTAATAATTTTTCAGCCCCTATGAAAATCACCCCCAAGCGAAATCAGGGAGGAAACTTGTTTGCCATATTAGGGGAATTCCATGATTGTTAAAACTGAGTGATTTGTGATCACTTCCCCAAAGCTCCTTTAAACCTCAAATTATTAATTAGTGTTTCCCACTGGAAGAACAATAAAGGAGGTTATTTCCCCTATTTGGCTCTGCACAAACGTTTTAAAAAACAATCCTGGATCGTATCAAGAAAGTCACCCGACTCTAAATTTCCTGTCAAATTGCTCCAGTCAATCTGTCTATAGTTGAAATCTCCCATTAGCACAACATTTTCGTATGTAGATGCCTTACAAATTTTCGTCCCATAGGAGTTTACTGCACTCCCTATCAAGATTTGGGGCCCTGTAATCACACCCAAAATTAGTTTTTTCTCGGCCCTCGAGAAGCTGTAACCAAACAGATTCAGTGGCTGACGCTTCTAATTAAATCTTGCCCTAACACAACAATTTAAATTGTCTCTGACATACATCGCTACTCCACCACCTTTCCCTGTTGACCCTGTCAGTGTGGAATAATTTATAGCCTTGTATGTGACATCAGAGGGCATCTCTCTATCTTTCAGATTGAGCCAGGTCTCTGTTATAGCAATAATATCTTGTTTCCTGCACTTGAATTAATCTTAGCTCATCTATCTTATTTCTAACACTCCTGCTATTAGTATAGTAAACCTTAAGGAGCTAGTCCCTTGCTGCCCTCTGCTGTCCCCCTTGTTTGCTGACCTGTTCTATTGTCTTTAAATTTATAACTTCATGCTGAATGCCTTTTATACATTTACTTTTTCCCAAACCCTATGTTGCAACCGCTTGTTTCCCACGCACACCCATACCTCTATCTTCCAAATCAGTTTAAAATCATAGGCATTTCACCAAATGGCCTTCTCAATCGAGTCTGCAAGTGCTACCACCCCCTGCACCAGAGAGATAAACCCCCATCCCTTGCATACATATCATGTTTGCCATAAAAGTTGTTCCAGTTTGTCAATGAATGGGATTGCAAGTTCCTTGCAGTATCTGTCTAGCCAAAATTTTAACACCAATTGCCCTAGACAACCTTTTCATTTCCTACTCCCCTTCTAGGCAAGATGCTACATATGATTGGGATCCCCCCCTTAGACTTAATGAAATCTATAGCTGACCTGTACTTATTTTAGCAGCTTTCTCTCCTACCCTTCCCAATATCATTTCCACCAGCCTGAGACAGATAATGGGCTTGTTTCCCATTACCTGACATGATATTATCCATCGTTGACAATGTCCCCAACACCAGCTCCAGGGGAAACACACTCTATCTCTCATCTTCTTATTTTCCTATTAAAAAAAGCCCGGTCAACAATCTTACCTGAGAGCACCAACCACGGGGAAATTGCGTTCCCTTTCCATTAAGGGGCTAGTCCCCTTTACCTTCAGGGCCACTGAAGGTACATTTCTCCTGGAGAACAGAGAAGCGTTTCCCCTACCCCCAAAATTATCACCCCTTAAACCCTTTCCCTTTTCCCCTGATGCCCCCCCTTTTCGGGTGAACAACTCCCCCACTTGTAGCAGGGCGGGGCTGCACCTCACTGCTGGTACCCGTTGCACCTCCCCCCAAACAGCCCCTCACATTTGAGAGACAGACCCCCCTCATGCTAAAAGGGGCCCCCCTTCCCCCAAAACTAAAAACCACCTCACACTTTTCCCCCAGGCCCATTAAAGGGGGCCCTTCAGCCCCAAATCTCCTCCTGGAGAACAAAAACCTCCTCCTTAAACCCTTTTCCAACCTCATTTTTTAAAAAACACTGCAAAAAGAAACCCAAATTTTGAAACCGTCCACGCTAACCCCCAAAGCCCAGGGCCCTGTGCCCTCACCCCTGAAGGGAACAGAAATGAATCCCAACCATGGGGCCCCGTCTTTGAAAAACTCCCCTTGTTTTTTATAGTTATCTGTTTACAAAAATTTAAAAATAAATTGATTTCATCATTGCTTATTTAAATTTCAAAAAATTTAATTTTAAAAAGCCAGCCCGTAATGCTATGCATGGGATAATGGCTTTTTGGGATGCTGCTCTTTTATTTATTTTTTTGTAAACCCCCGTATGTATGATAAAAATTTAATTTAAAAAAATAAAAAAATTTAAAAAAATTTTGGGGTTTTCCTAGGTAGTTACACCTGTTGGGTTGTATGACAGCTTTTTTTAACTGTATTTATGTGTACCTGGAAAAAAACTTTTCTTTATTTACTTTTAAAATAGAAAAAGTATTTTCAAAGGGATATATTTCTTCATTGTCATTTTATGGTTTTCCAAACTAAGAATGTTTAATTTAGGTACAAGGGCACTTTTAAAAATTTAAAAAAATTTTCAAATAGACATATGTGTAAATTTTATTATTTAAAAATCAAGAGGAAGCGCCAAAAACCCTTTGGATTATAAAAAAAACAAAAAGCCCCCCCACCCGCATCCCAAAGGGAAACCCTTTCCCTTAGGGGGTTTTTTATTTTTGATTACTTCGGATAACCCCAAAAAAGCAGATAAAGCGACCCAGTTAACATTGGGGGTGACTTGTTACCATTAAGTTTGGGTTTGGCCCAGGACAAGGTTTTTTCCCGAATCGTGTCCTTTGGGCACCCTGAGACCCCAAACTGGGCTCTTTGGGATCTGATAAAGGGTTAGGACTAGACGCAAAATTTTGACAAACCCGAACAAGAATTAATTTAAATTTTTTTTTGGGACAGGTAACATTAAAAAACAATTATTTATTTTATTTTTATAATAATATATATATATAAAATATATTAAAAATAATTATAATTAAAATATTTTATATATAGATATATTTATTATATATTTATAAAATATTGCAATAAGATCACAGTAAACAGGTGATTTCAAAAATATGCAAAACAACCACTCAAAAGAATAGAAAATTTCCCAAGCGCTTTCGTGACTACTCCACATTATAAAGGAACTAAAAGTGAAGCACCCAAAGGGAATATTAAGGGCCCGGGCCACACCTCACTATCAGAAAACCCACAACGGTTAAAACTGCCGCGGGCGACCAATTTGGAAGGTCCTTTCACAGCTCCCCCCCAACTATTCTACCCAAAAAATTAAAAAATTATTTTGTCAGTGTATTATTAAATTCTTCCAAATTTTTTAATTATAAATGGTTTAAATTTTAAAAAAAACCCAAAAGGAAATTTTCATAAATTGCAAAACTGCTTTTTATAAAACAAGTTTAAATTATATTCCTGCGACCAGGATTTGCTTGATACTACTTTCCAACTTTTTGAAAAAAATTTGGAGGTTAAAATCTCTTCATGAATAAATAGAGCATTGAAACTTGTCCAGTTCTAAATCTATATTTATGTTTTTTAATCTTAGTTCGAGTTTTTTCCTTTTTGACCAAATAACTTTTCGCAAATTTTAAAAGGGAATTTATAGACACATCAACAGCTTTTGGGGGAATTTTTATCAAAAGTTTTTTTCACTGTATCAAGTTTTTTGAAAAAACTTAATTTTAAAAGTTTAAAAAGAAGGCAATCAACCAATTTTCAGGGAAAGGGAAACCAAAAATTTTTTTTAGTTGAATAAGGCTGGTTTGCCCCTTTTTGGTTTTAAAAAAGTTTTCACAATTTTAAAAAAGATTTTTCAATTACATTCTTGGGTATTTTAAATCATTCCTTTTCATAAATTTTTGGGGTTTCCTCTCATGAACTCAGGACTAAAATTCGTAAAGCTCTCAAAAACATTGAGAAAAAACAGACAGTTTGACCTATTTTGATGCGGGGATAATAGGGGACATAAAAGCCCAAAATAACTGGGGGACCCGCTGGTCAGGGGCCCCACCTGACACCTCCCCCACATACCATACCCTGTTGTCTTCCTGAAAGTTTTCCCCTGATCCATTGTATGTCTTCCCCTGTTATCCTGCCTGGTCTCCACTTTTGCACTAACTCTTGGGGAAAAGTGTCAAACGCCTTTACAGTCCAAGAAAATGCAATTACCCACCCCCCCTTGTCTTACTGCCGTCACCCGCAAAAAACTCCATGGTTTGTGGCGGGATTTCCCGTCCGTGAAACCGTGGTGCTGTCTTTTGTGTGTGTGGGGTTTGTGTATACTCCCCTATTTGTGGTTGCAGGGGTCGATTCACAGCCCGGGCCCGAGGCTGTGTGTGGTGTGTGTTTGTGTATGCATCATCATACAACGTCTGCCCAAAATACAATAATAATAGGGTTTTTTCCCATGTATGACAAACCCTGTGTTCATTATTGTCTCTTGTAAACAATGAGTATTTTGAAAATAAACTTGTTTGTGTGTTTGTTTGTGTTTGTTCGCTGGGTGTGGTGTGGCGCCGCGGGGGAGGTGACGCCCAAAAGGTGGCACCAACCACTACAATGTTGTACTAAAATGACTCTCTAAAGGGTTTATTCCCTAAAACTGAAGACATGGTCACTAAGGCTATCTATGTTACTCTATTTAATGCAGGTTTGTGAAGAAGATGTGCAGTTTTGGGGTTTATAACTTCCCACCGAAAAAGGGTGCCCCCCTTTTTCACCAATTTTTAAAATTGACTTTAAGGGGTTGCTTAGTTAAAATTTTTGGGCTATTGTTAATTTAGATTAATATCTTATCATCTGCTATAGGTTGACTAATCAACCAGTAAGAAAAAGTGTCAAATAAGTAAACTAACAAAAATAGCCCACAATTTTTTTCCTGTTTATTGACTTAATTATTGACTTAAGTTAATTTTTTAAATTAATGCCTTACAGCTGTTTATAGGAGACAATAAATTTTGTAGGAAAGAGTGTCAAATGATTTACTAACCAAAAAAAGACTTGGTTTTTAAAAATTTTTTTTGGGAAAATTTTTTATACACGTATTAAACTTTTTTTTTTAATCTTTTATATTATTTTTTTTTTTTTTTGTAAATATTGTACAGTTCAAACCCAGCATATAAGGAACAAAAAGGGTTTTGTTTAGTATGGTCCGGCTAACATTAAATATACTTCCTTTAATTTTAGGTTAGATTCATTGCTTTTCACTTCTCCCGACACTTCAGTTAAACGCCTCGATGCTCTCTTACTTTTATTGACTTCGCAATTTTAATTAGGACCCGGATTTGTTGTGTGTGCTCCCCTAGTTGAGGTTGCAGGGGTCGAGCCCTAGTCCTGGCCCCAATTTCAGGCGTTTTAAAGGTCATTCCCGAACCTGACTTTATATACCTCTGCTTAAAGCTAGTATGGATCCTGCTCCAACATCGCTTCCCAAACTTTCCCTTCCGTGACTGAAATACTTTCTAAATCCCTGTGTTCATTTTGGGTCTTCAGTTTCCAACTGTGTCCCCTTGTTTGTGCCCCATTCTGAACATCCTGTTTTTGTCCCCCCTTTGTCAATTCCCTTCAGTATTTTGTATGTCGTTATATTCCCCCCCTATCTCTCCGTCCTCCAGTGTCGCAGGTTTAATTCCCTTAACCCTTCTCAAGACAACCCCTTTGCTCTGGGACAGTCTTGTTTTTCAAAAACCTTTTTACTTTTCTAGTTTCTTTACGTGCTTGGGGTATTTTGGGTTTTCCAACGGTGCCGCATCTCAATATGGGGCCCTTTTGTACATGTTTACGGGTCCTGAACGATTTCCCTTTTTAAGATGTCGGAATGCTGTTCTGAGGTTTCCGCCCCATGTGCGCACATTTTTTTGGGTTTAGTGCACTTCAGGGGATGACCGGTGTTATACCACCCCCAAAACTTTTTTCCCTTTAGTGAGGTTTGTGTGTGTGTGTGGTTGTGTGTGTGTGTGTTTTTGTGTTGTTTTGTGTGGTGTGTGTGTACATTATCACACTAGACCAACAAGGTGTTTTTGGGGGATGCCCGTGCCATTTTCTTCTAGAATTGTTCGGTCATTCTGATCGCCACTGTTTTACGGTTGATCTTTCATTTGTAAAGAGCACATAGATTTCTTTTCAGACCTTTCTTTCTTTTATACCATTGTCTGGCCCCCCCTTTAATGTTCACATTTTAAGCGATTTTTTTAAGCTCTTAAAAATGACACTGATTTCTACATCAGCTTTCCCCCCCCTCTCCTATCTGCCATTGTTTTTTTCCCAATGGAAAGAAGTCAGTGTTTGACTTGGGGTTTTCCTAGTATTTTAAAAACAAGCTCCTCAAAGGGGAAATTCGTTGATGCCAGTGAGTGGGGGGGGCTTTAACCCCTTTAAAAGGTCCAAACAAATCGACTTTTTAAAATTTGAGTGTACAGAATAATCTACTTTTTTTACATATTTTAAAAAAATAAAAAAAAAATGTAGTAAAAATTTTTTTTCACATTTTTTAAAATTTAAAAAAAAAAAGAAGATCTACATTTTTTTTCATACTTTCAGATGTTAAAAAAAAATATTACGTTTGGGGCCATTTAAGGGTTAAACTAACTTCCTATTTTTGGATCAAAACCTATTTCCTCCCCCTATCACTTTTATGGGTTTTTTCACTCCCCATGAATGTAATAAAAAAATACAAAATTATTATACAAGACAATTGTAAAAATTTAAACTTTTATTGAACCTAAATAAAAACTTGTCAATCCCCTACCTTTCTTTTCAATCTCACCGTTGATTTTAGCACTGAATGACATCCTAAGCTTAGTGTGTTTCATTAAGTTTGAGTTTATTTTGACCCAAAAATTACAGGGAAATAATGTTGGGGGTACATGCCAAAAAACCCTTTGTATGCAAAGCATTTTGGGCAAAGTTAAATATTAACTTAAGATTAGGAAGGCAGTAATACATAGTTCATATAGTCATTAGAGGAGTTACAGGAGTACAGGAAAATTGAATATTATATCATAAATCTACGGTTTTGATAATCTAGTAAGACTTATTACCTATTTTAATTTTGTTAAAAAAGATTTCATATGACAAAGAACAATTTAAAACATTTACATATGATGTATTAATTTTATACTACTTAAAACAATGAAATTTGGTATTACAAAGGAACATTTACATCATATGTCTTATTACAACTGTACTATTTAAAACAAGAAAAACAGACTCCTAATTTAAAATAGTAAGTGGGTTGCATTCATCACACAATATGGTAGCTTTTTGGAAACGTAGTGATTAGGTATGGTTTGTCTATTTATTTTGGGAATGAGGTGATTTCTTATTTGGGCCTTAAACGATTTGCAGACGAGTCATTCGTGTGTTTGCAATGAAATTTCCAAATCTCGACTTTTTAAAAGGCACAGCATTTTTTCATAGGGGGTGACTAAAAAGGGATATCGAAGAGTGAGCTGTTTCTCGTACTGTATTAGGTTGGGTGTTCTGTTATAGTTACAAGAGGGGTTTGGAGGAGGTTTACATTTGGTTAGTGTTCTGTGTAGTAGTAGGGACAAAAAAAGTGTGGGTGTTTTGTATATTTTGCAGGTTTTAAAACCTTGAAAAGAGGTGGAGTTGTTGTCTAAAGCAGGTTATAACAGTCGCACTGCAGCTTTGCGGGTTATAAAGGCTAAAATGATTTGGTGGTTGATCCCCATCACAAATACCATAGACGAGGGAAGGTAAAAAGAGGAAATGGTACAAAACTAGAAAGCTGATGGGGTACAAGACCGTATCTTTTTAAAGGAAAACCTACTGTTTGGAAACTCGGGAAAATTTTCTGTATGTGTGTCTGAATTTGAGACTGAGCAAGGGGAGACCTAGAAATTTGCCCTCTGCCGTCCAAAAAGATTTAACTATTTATCAGTATGTTTTGCTGACATTGAAACTCTGTTTTCCAAAAACTGAAGAGGTTTGTCTATATTTGGGGTATTTGTTGGTAATATCCCAAATAATATTTTCAGCATTCAGCATTTACTGTGCTGTTTGTATGGTTGAGTTTGGGTGAGAAAAGACATAACATAATATAATAGAGTATATTATATACAGCCTTTCCTCACTTAACAACAGAGATATGGACTTAAGACCCCGTCGGTAAACGAATTCGTTGCTTAACGAGGAGCATACTATAATGATGGTGGATTTGTGTCAGTCATCTTTGATATTCTTTTAATGCTACCTTTACACCATTTATAACATTTCTGGTAAATTTTTAAAAGTTTATGCAGCAGAGTACTGTATACTGTAATAAACAGAATTGAGGAAATCAGCTCTAATTTACATTATTTAGGTATAAATACTGGTCAGAGACCCCGTCGTAAGTCTGAGGCATTGGTAAACGAGTACGTCACTAAGTGAGGAGAGGCTGTTTAATAGTGGTGATGCCTTTTGTATTTACTTGGTTTCAAGCTTTAGTAAATACTTTAAAATAGTTGCCTATTTTTCAATAGTTAAACATTTAACATGGAAATATCTTCTTTTTCCATAGTGCTGTGTGGAACTTTTGGACGAGATTTACCTGGTGATGATAAAGAACACACCATTTTTGTAGATGAGCATTTCAATGTAACTTTACCCTGCTTTCATCACAGTCATGATAACACAGAGGTATGTACTGTATTGTAATTTTATTATATAGTAAATACTATAAGAAATGTTTTTGTCATATGATATTAGCTAAATGTAAGATTTTTTATTTCCTTTGCAATGTATCTGTATACAGTACTAGTTAACTACCAGCTTTATTTATATAAACATTTTTTCTTGTAGCCACCAATTGGTTTTATTATGCTGGACACATCAGTATGTTTAATTTTTTGTTTATAGAACTGCTTGAGGAAATATAATTTATGCTCTGTATGATTTGATGTGACATAGTTGAAATATTGCTGCTGTAATTCAGGTGTATTGAGCCCTGCAGTAGTAAATATTTGTCAAAATGAATACAGTTTTATACAAGTGCTTTATATAATGTCTGTCTTTAAGTACTGTACTGTATCAGTGTTCTCAGGATTACATAATGGTTATAGCACTAATAATAGTCATGAAACTCTTGGCATTCTTGATGCTGAAGTTGAATTCAAGACAGATACAGAGGAACACTGATAGTTGTCATTATTCTAATTCTCTGGTATTCTGAATTTTTGTCTTGACATGTGGAAAATTTGGCCATTTAGTTCAGTTGAATACTACTACAGGTTTCTGTTACTTTATGAGGATTCACTTTATGCAGTGTCTTGTTACTATTGGTAATTCTGTATATGCAATTTACAGTTACCATATATGATAAACAAAATATGGAAAGTCTATTGAAGGGTCTCTTTAGTCATAATTGTTTATGGCCTGAGTGAGCTTAGTAAAGATGCCAGGAGCCTGGAACACATCTGGAGCATAAACAAGGGACACCTGTACTGGTCTTTGTATTCAGCTTGACATCTCATAAACCATTGTTCTCCTCCATTGGCTGGTAACAGCCCAAGTAAAGCTTGTTTGTAAGGTGAGGGAAGAGATGCATACCTTGTAGAACTGAATATGATGCAAAGCAACCCTGTGCCATTACTGGTAGGTTCAAAATATAGTTTGGTATACAGTATGGCATAAATAATATTTTAGAGAGTGACCAATTCATTTCTAGCAATTAATACTTGTTTATTATTTATTGAAATGTACAGTAATTCATCATATTTTAGTTGATATTAAGTTTTTAACATTATTGCAGATACAGATTATTTTGTCACACCATCCAATCATCTATCCAGTGAGTGGATTTTTGATGGGTCATTATGTGGACCGAAAAATTGACAATATATTGTGATTCCTGGTAATCGAGAGACAACTACATGTATATTGTCAGCAGGTGTGGAGGTGGATAATTAAGTTACAGTACCTAACCTTATGTGCTGCCCTAACTTTGGTACAATACTAAACTAACAGAACATAGCTTTAAAACATATGTATAGCCCTTTAATAACTTTGTTACAGTATTAATACAATATCTGGATTTTATGACCTTTCAAATTGGTGTCTTAATGCTGGTGAAGGACTCTTGATCCAGGTAACTAGGACTATCCTTTCCTTCCTTGGATCAAACCTAAATATATCCCATTCCCAGGTACTTTATGACCTAGTATACAGGAAAACCATACCCCCGGCCGGGATTGAACCCGCGGTCATAGAGTCTCAAAACTCCAGCCCGTCGGGTTCAATGACCGCGGGTTCAATCCCGGCCGGGGGTATGGTTTATTTGCAATCGTGTCATTACGATTTCTTAAGTCATGTTGACGGCAGTGAAGGGACTTGAGCTAGAGTTCGTCACGGCCACGCTAGCTGGAGATTCGTCTGTAAAAACTTGCATTTGTGGTCACAGAGGTGCCTGTGCTAACTTTCCTATGGTGTAGAAATATACCTAGTTGGATGAATCTTATTGTGGCTAGCTGGTCTAGTGGCTAACGCGACGGGCTGGAGTTTTGAGACTCTATGACCGTGGGTTCAATCCCGGCAGGGGGTATGGTTTATTTGCAATCGTGTCATTACGATTTCTTAAGTCTAGTATACAGGGTCTGCTCTTTCCTATGAATAGAATAATAATCATTCATGCTGAGTAATGTCCTTCACCTGCAAGAAGTTACCCACAGATTGAGACACTAGAGTTTGACTCTCATTGTTCTGCAGTGACTTTAAAACAGCTACACCTTTTTTTTTTTTCTAGGTTAGCAAGTACATACATGTATATTCTTCTGTGTTGGGTACACTGAGAAGGTGGTTCTGTAAATGTAATGGGAATCCTTGTACTAATAAAAAAAACAATTGCTATTTAATGAGCATAATACTACTGAATGTCCTGTAATATGCATAACAATTTGGGCAGAATGAAAGTTAAAATTGCAAATTGAATGAAAGGTTTATATATTTGAAGGTATACTGGGGAAGATGGTACAGGTTGGCAGTCCCTAATCTGGCATCGTTGGGACCTGTAGTGTGCTGGATTAGTGAGTTTGCCAGATTACAGAGTGGTTAGGTTAGAGTACTTAATTAACCTATCAGTAGAGAGACTGCTACATCTTCCTCATTTTCATCACTGCTTTCTCCTCCCCCTGGCTTGCTGCTGTGGATTTACAACCATCTGCACAATTTCTGAGTCGGTATAATGGTGAAATTTGAGTCAGTATAATAATGAAAATTGAAATTATGCTAGCTGAAATTAGTGCCAGATTACTGATGGAACCGGATAACTGGTTGCCGGATTAGTGATGGCCGACCTGTATTGTACTCCATATATGACAAACATGTAGGAGTGGATTCTCATATAAAAAGCCTTAACATAATAAAACTAAACCTAGTAAACATTCTACTGAGTTAGTATAAGGACACTTAGCATCTGTAATACAATAATAAATATAATCCTAATACTAAATGTAACAATGATGGAAATGCAGATTAGGTGCCAAAAGCGTTACAATATGCAAAGATTTCGATGAAACTTGGGATGCTAGAAACCACGTTAGAGCAGTGGTGACGGATAAGTATTTGGTTTGAAGAGTGTAGGTTTTTTTTTTTTTCACCTAGTAGGCTCAAGGGTCCCACTATAAAAAATGTTTCATCTTTTAGCAACATTTATTTTAGAACTTTCGATATTTCACATAAATAAACTTTTTCTGAAAAGAACACTTGAATGCTCATACTAGTTGTATTTTGCTTTTCTTTATGAATACACCGTTTTAAGAATTGGATTCGGGTGATAAGTGCATGGGCATGCTGTTATTTTTTTTTTTTTTTTTTTTTTTTTTAAGTCTGTAGGATTTGCTGCTTTCTTGTAATTTTTTTATTACCACAGTAATATTCTTTATTTCTGAAAGTACATGACACAACTTATACAGACCATAGCTTGCATCAGTGATGTACTTTATAGAAAGCCCCTGGTTATGCAGAGCATTTTGGGCAAATTAGGTTAATTTTCTCCCCAGGATGCAACTCGTGCCACTCGGCTAACACCCAGGTACCTACTTATTGATAGGTGAACAGGGACAGCCGGTGTCTTAAAGGAACACATCCCAGTGTTTCCACCCGTACTGGGAATCGAACCACTGACCTCAGTGTGTAAGCTGAGTGTGCTACTAAAAAAAAAATGCATTCACCATAATTCATTCCATAGTTTTACTGTCAAAAGTGTGCAGACACCACAGTTGAAAATGATCCTCCAAACTGCAACATCCTCACTCCTTTCACTGAGAATATAGGTAGAGGTAATGAAAATACAGCACAACTCTGGTTCTCAACTTTTGTTGTTTGCGTCATTTGGAATGAAATCATGTTCTTTCAGGATTTCATTTCTTTGCAGTCATTTGTGTATAATCCTCCTTTAAGTAGATTATTGTATTTGGATTGTCTCAAAAGTAAACTAAATTAGTTTTTAGTTTACTTAGTGTGTCTTGTATGTCGTATCTCCTAACAATGATGTCATAAAAGGATTTCACCTTTCGAGTATAGCATGCAGAAATTTTTTACTGTACATATTGTAGTAAAATTTTATCATTTTGTGTGTGATATGAAGAAATCTTAAATAAGTTGTCAGCTTATATTTTGTATCCTAGGTTATAGCTGGATGCAATGACAATATGCATTAATATTAGTAATTCAAGATATTAAGTTAATGCTGTAATTTTTCCTGATAATTTCTCATTGTGAAAAATAAATGGTAGAAACCAACATTACAGAAAATATCGATTATTTGATTCTTCAAGGATGATGTTGAACAAAGGTGGTTTTTATTCCTTACAGTAAAACAGCATTCAGAAAAAGAAAGGTATATTGGACATATGGGTAGAAGTTGGTATAAATGTTTGTTAGCATGAACATAAAAGGAAAAAGTAAAAAAGGTAAAAAACATTAGTTTGTTGTCATGTTCGGATTGCTGCCAATGTAGGTTTCAAAATTTTCCCAAACCCGGTAATTAACCCCGATAAATATCAACAAAAAGAACATAATCAATTACGCATTGGTTCCAAATTTTAATTTTTTTCTGTGGGCAACTTAATTTTTTCCGAATTTACATTAAGTCACTGGTAAACCCTTTCAACATGCTTGACAGTCAAGATGTCTGGGTCGATGAATGGAGGGGTTTTCACCTTTATGGTTGATCATTGGAGATATATATCAATATCTATATTAAAAATAATCTTTAAAAAATCATTATCTATATAGTATATCATATATCTAAAAAAACAATTAATATTATATTTTTTTTTTTTCAACATCGGCCGTCCCCACCGAGGCGGGTGCCCAAAAAAGAAAAAAAATCCCCAAAAAAAAAAATTTTTTCATCACACAAAAACTTTCCCCCAACTCCACATTACCCCCGTTTTTGCAGAGGGCTCAGAATACAACATCTAGAAGCTACACACATAAAGAACACAACAACCCTCCAACTCCCAAATACCAACCCCCCCTTTAAATTTCGGGGCATTGTACTTCCCATTTCAGGACTAAAGTCCGACTATATGAAAATAACCGTTTCCCGAATCCCTTCACTAAATTCCCCGGCTCACACTCCAACAACGTAGGTCCCAAGTACATTCGTCTCCATTCACTCCTATCTAACCGTCACGCACCTTGCTGGAATTTCAAGCCCCTTACCCACAAAACTCCTTTACCCCCTCTCTCCAACCCTTTCGAGGACAAACCCCTACCCCGCCTTCCTTCCCCTATAGATTTATATGCTTTCCATGTAAATTTACTTTGATCCATTCTCTCTAAATGACCAAACCACCTCAACAACCCCTCTTCTGCCCTCTGACTAATACTTTATTAACTCCACACCTTCTCCTAATTTCCACACTCCCGAAATTTTCTCCCATAATATTTAAAACCACACATTGCCCTTAAACAGGACATCTCCACTGCCTCCAACCGTTCCTCCTCGCTCTGCATTTACCACCCAAGCTTCACACCCATATAAGGTGTTGGTACTACTATACTTTCATACATTCCCTTCTTTGCCTCCATAGATAACGTTTTTTGACTCCACATATACCTCAACGCACCAATCACCTTTTTTCCCTCATCAATTCTATGATTAACCTCATCCTTCATAAATCCATCCACGCACGTCAACTCCCAAGTACATATCTGAAACATTCCTTCTTCCATACTCCTCCTCCCAATTTGATATCCAATTTTTCTTTATCTAAATCATTTGACACCCTCATCACCTTACTCTTTTCTATGTTCACTTCAACTTTCTACCTTTACACACATTCCAAACTCATCCACTAACCTTTGCAATTTTCTTTAGAATCTCCATAAGCACAGTATCATCAGCAAAAAGTAACTGTGTCAATTCCCATTTTTAAATTTGATTCCCCATAATTTAATCCCACCCCTTTTCCCCCAAACACCCTAGCATTTACTTCCTTTACAACCCCATCTAAAATATATTAAAACAACCATGGTGACATTACACATCCCTGTCTAAGACCTACTTTTACCGGGAAGTAGTCTCCCTCTTCTACACACCCTAACCTGAGCCTCACTATCCCATAAAAACTCTTTACAGCATTTAATAACTTACCACCTATTCCATATACTTGCAACATCTGCCACATTGCTCCTCTATCCACTCTATCATATGCCTTTTCTAAATCCATAAATGCAATAAAAACTTCCCTATCTTTATCTAAATACTGTTCACATATATGCTTCAATGTAAACACCTGATCTACACATCCCTACCCACTCTAAAACCTCCTTGCTCATGTGCAATCCTACATTCTGTCTTACCTCTAATTCTTTCAATTATAACCCTACCGTACACTTTTCCTGGTATACTCAGTAAGCTTATTCCTCTATAATTTTACAGTCTCTTTTGTCCCCTTTCCCTTTATATAAAGGGACTATACTGCTCTCTGCCAATCCCTAGGTACCTTCCCCTCTTTCATACATTTATTAAACAAAAGTACCAACCACTCCAACACTATATCCCCCCCTGCTTTTAACATTTCTGTCATGATCCCATCAGTTCCAGCTGCTTTACCCCCTTTCATTTTACGTAATGCCTCACGTACCTCCCCCACACTTACATTCTGCTCTTCTTCACTCCTAAAAGATGGTATACCTCCCTGACCAGTGCATGAAATTACTGCCTCTGTTTCTTCCTTAACATTTAAAAGTTCCTCAAAATATTCTCGCCATCTACCCAATACCTCCATCTCCCCATCTACTAACTCCCTACTCTGTTTTTAACTGACAAATCCATATTTTCCCTAGGCTTTCTTAACTTGTTTAACTCACTCCAAAATTTTTTCTTATTTTCATTAAAATTTCTTGACAGTGCCTCTCCCACTCTATCATCTGCTCTCCTTTTGCACTCTCTCACCACTCTCTTTACCTTTCTTTTACTCTCCATATACTCTGCTCTTCTTATAACACTTCTGCTTTGTAAAAACCTCTCATAAGCTACCTTTTTCTCTTTTATCACACCCTTTACTTCATCATTCCACCAATCACTCCTCTTTCCTCCTGCCCCCACCCTCCTATAACCACAAACTTCTGCCCCACATTCTAATACTGCATTTTTAAAACTATTCCAACCCTCTTCAACCCCCCCACTACTCATCTTTGCACTAGCCCACCTTTCTGCCAATAGTCGCTTATATCTCACCCGAACTTCCTCCTCCCTTAGTTTATACACTTTCACCTCCCTCTTACTTGTTGTTGCCACCTTCCTCTTTTCCCATCTACCTCTTACTCAACTGTAGCTACAACTAAATAATGATCCGATATATCAGTTGCCCCTCTATAAACATGTACATCCTGGAGCCTACCCATCAACCTTTTATCCACCAATACATAATCTAATAAACTACTTTCATTACGTGCTACATCATACCTTGTATATTTATTTATCCTCTTTTTCATAAATATGTAATTACTTATTACCAAATTTCTTTCTACACATAGCTCAATTAAAGGCTCCCCATTTACATTTACCCCTGGCACCCCAAATTTACCTACTACTCCTTCCATAACATTTTTACCCACTTTAGCATTGAAATCCCCAACCACCATTACTCTCACACTTGATTCAAAACTCCCACGCATTCACTCAACATTTCCCAAAATCTCTCTCTCTCCTCTACACTTCTCTCTTCTCCAGGTGCATACACGTTATTATAACCCACTTTTCACATCCAATCTTTATTTTACTCCACATAATCCTTGAATTAATACATTTATAGTCCCTCTTTTCCTGCCATAGCTTATCCTTCAACATTATTGCTACTCCTTCTTTAGCTCTAACTCTATTTGAAACCCCTGACCTAATCCCATTTATTCCTCTCCACTGAAAACTCTCCCACCCCCTTCAGCTTTGTTTCACTTAAAGCCAGGACATCCAGCTTCTTCTCATTCATAACATCCACAATCATCTCTTTCTTATCATCTGCACAACATCCACGCACATTCAGACTTCCCACTTTGACAATTTTCTTCTTCTTATTCTTTTTAGTAATCTTTACAGGAAAAGGGGTTACTAGCCCATTGTTCCCGGCATTTTAGTTGACTTTTACAACACGCATGGCTTACGGAGGAAAGATTCTTGCATATTTATGAGACAGACAAGAGACATCAGCAATCCTACCATCATGTAAAACAATCACAGGCTTCGTTTTACACTCACTTGGCAGGACGGTAGTACCTCCCTGGGTGGTTGCTGTCTACCAACCCTATATATATATATATATATATATAATATATATATATATATATATATAATAATATATATTATATATATAATATTGTCACCACACATGTAATATATGTATGTGTTGTGAATATAATGCAGAAAAATTCATAGTTTGGGAAGTTAGGAGGAGGTGCGGGATTACCAAAACTGTTGTCCAGAGGGCTGAGGGAAGGGTTGTTGAGGTGGTTCGGAAAATGTAGAGCTAGAATGGAGCGAAACAGAGTGACTTCAAGGGGTGTATCAGTCTGTAGTGGAAGGAAGGTGGGGTAGGGGTCGGCCTAGGAAAGGTTGGAGGGGGGGGTAAAGGAGGTTTTGTGTTCGAGGGGCTTGGACTTCCAGCAGGCATGCCGTGAGCGTGTTTATAGGAAGTGAATGGAGCAAATGGTTTTTAATGCTTGACGTGCTGTTGGAGTGTGAGCTAAGTAACATTTATGAAGGGGTTCAGGGAAACCGGCAGGCCAGACTTGCGTCCTGGAGATGGGAAGTACAGTGCCTGCACTCTGAGGGAGGGGTGTTAATGTTGCAGTTTAAAAACTGTAGTGTAAAGCACCCTTCTGGCAAGACAGTGATGGAGTGAATGATGGTGGAAGTTTTTCTTTTTCGGGCCACCCTGCCTTTGTGGGAATCGGCCAGTGTGATAATAAAAAAAAATAATATATGTATACCTTTCCTTGGTGATGGTTAACTCGTGCCTTTTTCACCCCAGCTAGAGAGGCCATGTGATATGGTATAATAATACTGATTCTGGTTTTGTAATAGTGACTTTCTATTATGATTGTTCTTGTTTGGGCAATATCCCCTCGTCAGGTAACCATTTGTAATTGCATGATTTTTGTCATACAGGAAAGCACATACTGGGTTCAAGATGGGATGCATGGGTCAGGCGTGGATGTCCTTCCAGATGGTTCACTGCTTTTGACCAATGTTACTCGGCAAACCAGTGGCCGTTACAGATGTCTGTTGGAGCAAAATGACAGAACTATCACTGCCATTCGATTGGTAGTAAGAGGTAAGTATAAATTTTATCGAGAATTTTGGTATAATTCAGTGACCTTTGGCAAACAAAACAGTCACACATTTTGAAAATACATACAGAAAATCAAATATTCTGGTAGCAACATCATACTAGAATATTCGGGCTAATACCTGTTTATGCCTGTAGCATTTAGAATTTTTATCTCGCTTCAGTTTTCTACTGCTATGACAAATTAGCAATTCTTGGGTTACAAATACGGCTTGTTGTTGTTCTTGATTTGCACAAGGAAATTTCTATATTTTACCAGAGTCTCTTAGAATTATGAATGAGAAATTGATATTAAGTATTCCTAGCATGGCTTTGTTTTACCATTGTATTTGATTAGAGGCCCTGGCATTATGAATAAATACATTTGTATTCTTGTTATTAAATAATTTTTTGTAGTAAGGTTTGCATTGTTGTAGATGGTTTATGGAGAGTTTTACAATATATGTAGCATCTTAGAAATACACCTACCATCCGACTTACGACCGAGTTCGGTTCCGAGAAACCGGTCGTAAGTCGAAATGGTCGTAAGTCGAACTTTACTACTGAATATCAACAAAACATTTTTGTAATGACTATTTTATTGTTTTATTTGGTTTTTTCATGTTTTACTTTACTTTTTATGTTGTTAGTGCTGTATTTTATACTGCAAGGTTTAGGATAAACACTGTGTACAACACAAATAGTTGTTTTTTTTCCCAAAATTTGGCATAAAAAACACGGTTGTAAGTCGAGTGGTCGTAAGTCGAGTAGGTCGTAAGTCGGAGGTAGGTGTATATATATAAATATATTTTTGTTTTTTGAAACTTTCTTCTGATCTTTCTTTTGAAAAATTTTTTTTTTGTTTTTAACCTCAACAATCATCAACATCACCTCTTCCCAACACTGTAGCATTCACTTCTTTTACAGCCCCATCATGTTTTAAGTGGGCTGACATTGCAAACGGGTTACTCTGTTTGTAACATCCCCGGCCCTTCCTCTAGAATGCAAGCACTAATCTTTGAACTCTAGGACTCAAGTCCAGCCAACCCCGTTTCTCTAAATTCCTTCATAAATGTTACCTTGCTCACACTCCAACAGCACTTAAAGGAATAAAATGCACTCGTATGCAGTAACTTTGATCTAATATTTCCAAAAAGCCTGATGGATGCTGAAACCCCATAGCACCAAAAACCTTCACACCCCTCTCTCCAATTTGGATGAACAGGGTGAACCCAGGGAAAGGGTTCACCCCTGTTCATCTTACCTTCCACACATGCATATGAAATGCATATAATGTTAAAAAAAAAAAATTTAAATGGAGAAAATCTTCCATTAGTTACTTACTGAAGTTTTTAACATAGTTGATTTACTGATATGGGACATGCTGTTTCTTCACAGGCTCGCCAGATCCCCCTGAGAATGTGACGTGTCCACATCAACTGTTATTGCTGTAGTGACGTGGCACCTACACTTGGAAGAGGACGGGGAAGAGCCCCTGGGGGCTAAAAACAACACTTCACCTCCAGTATCGACCTATAACATTCAGCTCAGTGGTTGCATTTGCCACATCACATAGCCCCATCACAGGTAGGCATTCCTTCAATATTTTCTCTTAAGTATACTTTCTTTTGATAACGAAGTTTGATAACGAAGTTTTTTTTTTTTCAACAAACTGGCTGTATCCCATTGAGGCAGGTGACCTAAAAAGAAAAATGAAAGTTTTTATTTTTAAATTTAGTAATTTATATGGGAGAAGGGGTTACAGTCCCTTGTTACTGACTTTTTAAATGCCTCTTATGACACGCGTGGCTTACAGAGGAAAAATTTCCCTTTTCCACTTCCCATGGAAAATAATTGTACACATTTCATTATAAAATTTGATCATTAAAAATTTATATTTCTCGAGCAGTCCCTTCACAAGCTTTCTTAAACTGTTTGGGTATCCCACACATCATCTTCGATCCAACTCAGATTTATATATACAGTGGACCCCCCGCATACCGATTTTAATCTGTGCAAGAGGGGTCATTGTTATGCGAAATAATCGGTATGTGAATGAATTTTCCCCATAAGAAATAATGGAAATCCCAAATTAACCGTGCAAGACACCCAAAAGTATGAAAAAAAAAATTTTACCACATGAAATATACATTTTCCTACACACAAAGAGAAGGATACATGCACAATAAGAGAGTACATGCACAGTATATATTGTGCATGTACTATCTACAAATGAAGAATAAATGACACTTACCTTATTGAAGATGCAGCAATGACTGATGAGACACTGTGTCCCTGGGAGTGCCTTTTCCTCTTGAGTACTGTAGTCCTGTTTGGCATTTTCTTCCAGAACAGGCCTTATCACACTGTGTATCCCCCCTACGTTTCTTAAATCTCTCAAACCAACTTTGCTGGCTTTAAATTCACCAATACGACACTATTCCGGCATTTTTCCCTGTTCACCTGGGTTTAGTCGACTTGTTGGGTTTGCTCCGGGGAGCAAGATAAGGCCCCCAATGGAAAAAAGTTAGACAGTCTTCTACACTGATTTTTTTGGGTTATCCTGGTAAATCCTCGGGGTTAATTGTTTCTTGGTTTTCTCAATAACCACACCAACAAGGGTGCTAAAAGCAGCACACAGCTGACGGGGGTACAGCAGCAACAGACATGCACAGCGCAGAAACGTGCTACACAGCAACAGACATGTTAACAGCAGCACAGACGATGCACAGCAGCAGCAGCAGCGATATGCTACAGCAGCAACAACATTTTACAGCAGCGCAGACAAAGAAGCGCAGCAGCAGCTGAGGGTGGTACAGCGAAACAGATGATGCTACACAGCACAGACGATGCTACGCGACACAGCTGAGGGTGGTACAGCACAACAGACTGTTACAGCAGCAGCAACGATGCTAACAGAAGCAGCATTAAACGGGGGGTACGGGCCAACAGACGATGTTACAGCAGCAGCAACATGCACAGCACACAGCAGCTGACGGTGTACGCAGCAACAACATGCTACCAGCAGCAGAACGATGCTAAGCAGCAACAACGATGTTACAGCAGCAGCAACGATGCTACAGCGCAAAACAGCAGCACAGACATGCTACCACAGCACAGCACAGCAGCAAAGTCGCAGCACACAGCGACAGGCAGCACACAGCAACGTACCACCAATAGTACGATGGTTATTGGGTTTTTTATAACAACGGGGCCAGCTGGGAACACGCACTCCATTTTCATACTTACAATGATCTTTTCTTCTCTCTTTTGTTTTCTCACCCTTATTGCTTGGGGTTGGGGCATAAAAAATTTTTTTCCCCCCATGCCCCACTTTTTTTTTCCAAAAAAGCACCGAAAACACTGAAAAAACAAATTTTCCAGTACGGATTTTACCGCGAAGGCGGCGGAAAACAATGCCACCGGGGGAAAATTTGGGGCTGGCTGAGGGCACTTTGGACCGCCGACGAAAACGTGACGGTTTTTAAGCGGTTGCGAGGCAAAATTTTTTGCGTTTAAAAAGAAAGGGGTATCGGATTAACTTTTTGGGATGCCATGGGTATGCGGGGCCCACTGATATATAATTTTTTTTAAAATGTCGCCGTTTCCCCCCCGAGGCAGGGGGACACTTTCACATCACTCCCCTACTATTTTCTGTCTTTGCGAGGCACCAGATACAACAGGTAGACGTCCCCCCAAACAAACCCAAAACCCAAACCCCTCCCTTTAAATTTCGGCATTGTACTTCCCCTTTCCAGGGCTCGATACAGTTTTTAAATGGTTTTCCCCGAAAACCCTTCACAAATATTACCCGCTTCACTCCAACAGCTCATCAGGTCCCAAAAAACCCTTCACTCCTATCAAAATGCCATGCACGCTTCTGGAAAATCCAAGCCCCCCCCCCAAAACCCCTTTTCCCCCCCCTTCCAACCCTTTCAAGGGGACCCCTACCCCCCCTTCCTTCCCCCAATTTACATATCCCAATCATTCTACTTTATCCCTTCTCTCAAATGACCAAACCCCTTTTTACAGCCCCTCTTCACCTTTTGCAATACTTTTGTAACTCCCCCACCCCTCCTAATTTCCACACTATGAATTCTTTGCATAGTATTTACACCACACTTTACCCTTAGACAGGGCGTCTCCACTGCTTCCTGCCACCTCCTCGCTGCAGCATTTACAACCCATGCTTCACACTCACATAAGATTATTGGTACCACTGTACTCCGTACATTCCCTCCTTTTACAGTGGAACCTTGGCATACGACCAGCTCCCTATTTGAACAAAGCTCAGCACTCGACCAAACAAATAGACTTGCCAGAACTTAACTGTAAACTATTTCATGTTTCTTCACATTTTTTGGAGTTTTTTGTATTTGTATAAATAAGCCACCATGGGGCCTACGACGATTAGTGATAACAGCCAACCAAACAGAAAATTGGTTGGGAAGACCTTGTTCAATACTCAAATGGAACAGCACTTGAACAGCGTTCTGGAATGAGTTAAGGTTGCATACTGAGGTTCCAGTGTATATTCTTTGAAAATGTGAGAAATCATGAAAGTACTTGGAAGTTCACTATTTTTTTACAGTGGGGGTTCTGTATTTTGTGATATCACCTGTTTGTTGTGATCTTATTGCATATTCTGTAAAATTTTTATACTACCTACATTTCTCTTTCTTTTGTGAGCATGCCACTTTAAAACCCCCTTCTGCTGTGTAATTCTTTCTCAGTCTACATCACGATGTTGAATGAAGGTTTGAATGAGCTTAAAGCTGTGATTTTGGCCATGGCCTTTAAAGAATATTGTAAGCATCTAATGCTTTTTGCGATTCATGAATCAAGAGGTGCAGTGCAGGCTGCTTAAATTTTAAAGGGGCCAGGGGAAAACAGTAAAATTATGGACTACAGTATTCACTATATGGCAGGAATTGGCCTGATTGATAGAAGCCTCTCATACATGATGATAATTGCATGTGATAAGCTAGTAAGACTTGTATCTTTTTTTGTTTGCAGGGTCGGGTAGATGTGTAAAAATTTGCAACCCAACACTACTTATGAGTTTTCAACTATGGACCTCAAATAGCTATGGAGACAGTGAAGTTGTAAAGGTTATCAACACTACTCATCCTTTTGTATCAGAAATAGGTAATTACTTCAATTTTTATCATTACTGTACCAGTACCCCATTGTTGTAAAATATTTCACTAAGCATACATTATATACTTGAACTAGAGTAATTTGCTTGAATTCACTTATAAAACTTAAAAATCAGGGCAGCAAACAGGGCATAAAAAAAGGGGTATTAAAACAAAATGAGGAATACTCGAGAGAAACATGTTCATGTAATGAAAAAAAGAAGCTCAATTGTAGAATTTTTTTATCACGCTGTCAGTTTCCCATTGATATAGAATGACCAAAAATGGAAACAAACTTCACCATCATTATTAATAGCTCTTTTGCCTAGATGCACAGATGTCGCAGTTTAAATGGTTTTCCAGACTGCAGTATCTCCACCCGTCCCTGGCACTCAAAAATCTCCTTTACCTTATCTCTCCAACCTTTCTGGGATGAACCCCTACCCCTCTCTCCACCCAAGCTTTTTGCATCTTCTTGTTCAACCTACTCTGCTCCATCGTCTCTAAATCCCAAAATACTTCACAGCCCCTCCTCACACCTCTGAATTATAAACCCTTTGGCAACCTCCAACTTCTTCAAATTTTTACACTCCAAATTCTTTTTGTAATATTCACACCACTCAGTGCTCTCAGATTGACAACTCCACTGCCTGTATCCTCCTCACTGCAACATTTTAAGCCCATGCCTCACACCTATATAACATGTTGGTACCACAGTACTCTGGTACATTTTCCTTTTTTGCCTCTATACATAAACTTCTTAATTGTCATAAAATTCCTCATGCCACACCTACCTTTGTTACTCGTCCATTCTGTGGGTCGCTCTATTTTTCGTAGACCCCATCTGCTGCCATATTAATTCCCAAAGTGTTAGAATACATTCACTTCCTGCATACTCATTTCGTTTGGATCTAATCTTTCCCCTTGGGTAGATTTTTTTTTTTCTCTCTCATCACCTTTCCTTTTTATTGATATTTGCTTTTGATTTCCTTTGCATATCCTCTCACATTTGTTCTCCAGTCTTTGCAGATTAAGAATCTCCCAAATGGCAACTGTTGCCAGCTCGTACTTTTTTTCTGCTTCATTTTGTTTTCATCCCACACCTTCACCTAACACCCTAGCATTCATTTCTGTTGCAATCCCATTTATAATAAGGCCTACTTTTCCTTAAAAACATCCCCTCCTTTTGCATACACACCCTAACCTGAGCCTCGCTACCAAAATGAAGACTACTGCTTTTAGTAACCTACTACAGGTCATCATCACTGATCTGGGAAATCAAATTAATCCGGCACCGATTTCAGCTAGCGTAAGTATCGCACCCATTTTATGAGGTGCATACTGAGTGCAGTTAACTCTGGCAGACCAGTATGTGGGCTTATTAAGGAATTTAATGGTCCCAGTGATGCCGGATTAATGATGGTCAACCTGTACCTATTCCATACATTTACAACATCTACTGTATTACTGCTCTATTTGCTCTAACATATGCCTTTTCTTTCGTTTATGTAGTCACAGATATATTGAGGGACATGTATTAAATGAGGTGGTCAGGATAAATGACTGGATATACTGGAGAAGGGACATTGAGGAAAGCTGATAGAATAGCAGTAGTTAAAAATTAGTTCAAGCTATAAGATTTAAATACACATGTTAAAATGCCAGGCAACTGTGACATCCTGTTTATAGCTGTATGCTCAAGAGAGCATTACCTATTCAACATGTTTGCTGTATTTGTTGTCTCTAACTTTTGGTAATGAAATTATTTATTTCCTAATACTTTTCAGATTTGGCTAAAGGTTTAGAAAAAACATTGGAAGAGTTCAGCCCTAGTGTGTGGATTGTTGCTGTGATGGTGGCAATGGTTGTTGCAAGTATCCTTGGAGGTCTTTTGTTAGTCATTTATTGCATCCAGCACAAATTTAAGAAATCAAGTAAGTTTTAACTCCTATACAATTTTTTTTTTTTTTTTTTACACAGGGTTTGACAAGGTTAGGTTAAGGATCCCTAACTTTATTGACAAGCTATTTACAGGTTAAGGATTCCTAACTTTATTGACAAGCTAAGAGCTGTTATCTACATCAGCTCATTTGAAAGCATTTTTATTGTTATGAAACATACAAGTAGGGAACAGGATGAAGTTGGAGCCACCTGTGGGCCAGCATTTTCATCTGATCAACAGACTTTATCTCGTTGACATCGTAATGCTGTACAAATGTGTTTCATACTCGAGTCATCCGTGGGATAAGTGATCTCAGATGAAGTAATGTTCTGGAGAAGGGTACAGCCAGAGTGAAGTTGCTGCTTTCTGCCCGTCATGTGGTATAGAAGCTTGCTTCACGCTGTCCTCGAAGTGGTGTCCTTTAATTTCCATCATTCTGTTTTAGATGTCATGTGATGTACAGTAATTTTTTTTAACACGTTGGCTGTAATTTGTATTAACAGTTGGCAAAGATTATTTGTTGTATTAATTTCTATAATTGTTAGAATTGTAGGTAGTAGGTTGGTAGACAACAACCGCCCAGGGAGGTACAGTGGACCCTCACCTAACGATATTAATTGGTACCTGAGAACGAATATCGTTAGGTGAGTTTTTTAGCGTTAGCCAAGGCAAAAATGTTTGCGTTAAAATGTATTGTTAGCTGGATTTAACGTTAGGTGATGCCATCATTAGCTGAGGGTCCACTGTACTACTGTCCTGCCAAGTGAGTGTAAAACGGAATCCTGTAATTGTTTTACATGATGGTAGGATTGCTGGTGTCTTTTTTCTGTCTCTTAAACATGCAAGATTTCAGATACATCTTGCTACTTCTGCTTACACTTAGGTCACACTACACAGACATGTACAAGCATATATATACACACCCCTCTGGGTTTTCTTCTATTTTCTTTCTATTTCTTGTTTATTTCCTCTTATCTCCTGGAGTTTACCTGGAGAGAGTTCCGGGGGTCAACGCCCCCGCAGCCTGGTCTGTGACCAGCCTCTCTATGGGGAAGTGGAACAGAATTCTTCCTCCGTAAGCCATGCGTGTTGTAAGAGGCAACTAAAATGCCGGGAGCAAGGACCTAGTAACCCCTTCTCCTGTATAAATTACTAAATTTAAAAAGAGAAACTTTCGTTTTTCTTTTTGGGCCACTCTGCCTTGGTGGGATACGGCCAGTTTGTTGAAAAAAAAAAATAGTTAGAATAAAAAAAATGGCAGCTTGAGTATGCCTTTACTTACCTATGTGTACTTACCTATTTGTGTTGCATGGGTTAAGTCTTGTCTGAATGTAGACGTGTGTGTGCACATGGATGTAATTGTACAAATTCCAGTATTTATATGTTGTATGCTGGTCAAGACTCGGCTCTGGGAGTAGAAAAACTCCTGGAACTCATCAACAGTGTGTTGTAATTTTTTTTTTTTTTTTTTTGTTGATGACACTGCTTTTAGGAAATTTTAAAGAGAAGTTGCAAAGGTTGTTGGATGAATTTGGGGGGGAGGCAGTTATGTAAAAGAAGGAAATTAGAAGTGAACAAAAGAAAGAGGAGGGTGATAAGTAACAAAAAATTAAGGTAATGAAAGAGTGGATGTCAGATTGGAAGAAGGGAGTATGGAGGAAGTGAATGTGTTCAGATATTTAGGGGTGGACTTGTCGGCAGATGGGTATATGAAAGATGAGGTGAACCATAGAACTAATGAAGGGAAAAAGGTGGATGGTGCATTGAGGCATCTGTGGGGACAATGTTATCCATGGTGGCAAAAGGGGAAATGTATGAGAATATAGTAGTACCAACACTCATATCCGTGGGAAGCAAGGGTTGTGAATGTTGCAGCAAGGAGGCTTGAGGCAGTGGAGATATGTTAGGGTAATGTGTAGTGTAATTACAGTATAATTCCATAGTTTGAAGATTGGGGGCTACAAAAAGTATTATCCAGACTGAGGAGAGGTGGTTGAGGTGGTTTGGACATTTAGAGAGAGTGGAGCAAAATAGGATGATTTGGAGGGTGTATAAATCTGTAGTGGAGAGAAGGTTGGGTACGAGTTACTCTAAGTAAGGTTGGAGGTAGGGGGGTAAAGGTTTTGTATGTGAGGGGCTAGGACATTCAGCAGATATGTGGGAGTATATTAGATGGGAGTGAGTAGAGGCAAGTGGTTTTTATAAATTGATGTGTGGTTGGAGTGTGAACAAGATAACATGAAAGGGATTCAGAGAAACTGGTTAACTAGACTTGAGTCCTTAAGGAGGGGTGGATATTTACAGTTCGGAGGGGCATCTGAACTAGCATCAGCATGCTTCTGGCTAGACAGTGATAGTGAATGATGAAAGCTTTTCTTCTTTTACTTGTCGCTCTACCTCTGTGGGAGATGGCCAGTGTGCTAAAAAAATTAAAGCATTTCTTTTTACATAAAATTCATGGCAGTCATATTTTTCAGTCTTTTCTCTGTAAATGTTTCTTCAGATTTATTCATACTTTTTTTTATATATTTAGGAATTCTCTTGCTACATATTTTATTAAAAATTGCAGTACTGTTCACACAAACCATTATTAACAAGATTTATTATTTTCTAGATGAGGGAGATGACCCAGAAAAGATTGAACTAGTTCCGCATATCATCGAAAACCCTGGATATCAAGTGGATCATTCTTGTAATCTTGAAACCATATATGAAAGTCATCTTTCACCTTCTGCAAGTGCCCAGAGTACTGTTGCTACTGTATAATTTTTTAAACACTGTCATTTTAGTGTTTAGCATGCATTGAAAAATTATTACCAGTCCCTCTGATTTGCATCATAACATATGATGAGGCAGGGCTGATGAGGCATCTGTCCTAGCTTTGCATGTTACACTGTTGAAAGAAAAGGCACAACATTTTTACAAATGACTATTTACAAAAGTCTGTAAGGAGAGAATATTCAGCAATTAGACTTGAATTCAGATTAGCTTGAACTGCAGACCTCAACTTGTCTCAGGGCTTCCATAAAATGGAAGTGTTGACTTCTGTATTTGTGGTATCTTTGACAAAAATAGAAAAATCTCCCATTCATTAACTATCCTTTGGGATACATTGCTATTTACAAAGTGAATTGTGACATTATCATCTTAGTAATATTTAACCCTTTGCACTCCATTGAAAAATATGATCAATAGAACATGTAGACAGCATATGTTATGTAGAAGTATATTATTTAATGGCTTAATGTCACTTAAATTATACATTTATCAAATTCTTTTTAAATTTACACAGGAAAGTTTACTCTGAAAAAGTTAGTCTTAGAAATTTTTAGACTTTAGTGGTCACTATGTTTTTAGGAGTTTGTGCTCAAAATGCTTACCAAAACACAGTGCATGTTGGCTTAGCTTTTATTAGCAATATGAATTGATATGAAAAGAATGAGGATTGGCTTAGTCAGCTTGTTGCTCTTAGTTTTTCAGTATAATAAAACTGGCAGTTAACTTGAAACATTCCATTATCAAAAAAATAACCAACAATAATTAAAATGCTGTTTGGCATTAAGAAGATTGTTATTCAGTGTGCTTTCCTAAAGGAGGACCGTCATAACTTTGACGTAATGTAACAGTAAGGATATATGTAGAGCAGTTCATGAAAAGAACAGAAGAGGAATAGCTAAATGTAGTAGTAATGGGATTTATTGTTATGGAACTCGTATGTTCTCGGTGATATTGCATCTACTACCAATCCTTATGTTCAAGTTGTAACTCAAAAAATTCTTTTTGACAAATTTTATTAAATTCTGATACTTTGTTTTATTTGATTTTTCCCCCTTTATTTCCCGGGTTTTTGCCCCCGGAATTTTCCAAATTTTGTTCCTTTCCCCTGACGTTTATTTTTCCTTAAAAAGGTTCTTTTTGATTAAATTAAAAATTAAACAATTGAGCAAAGTGATTTGGATAATTAATACTTTCTTTGGAAAAAATTCTTATGAAATTTTGAAATCACATGCTTGGAGTATCTTACATGCAGCATTGCTTTTACTTTTTTTAAAAAGCTTTTGATATAGAAATGGGGCCGGGTTGTTTGCAAAGAAAGTGAGAAGCAACCCTAGCACCCTTTGAGATGTTATGAGCTCCAATGCCGAGGTATTTAAAGAGAAAGGAAGAGAAAAAAAGCGGGGAAAAAAGGGAATTTTGGAGGGATAGATAAGTACCTTTTTTTAAAAATTTATAACAGTAATTTTTTTTTTTTTTTTCCCAAACCCCTTTTGATACAGTAGGATTTTTCACTAACAGTAAAAGTAGTATGAAAAAAAAATAAGTTCAGATGGAATTATGCTTTATTTGCTATATATATTATAATTCTGCAAAATATTTTTCCCAAAAAAAATTTAAAAAAACTGCAAAATTATTTAAAATCAAATTTCCCATAAAACAGTCGAATACTTTTTCCAAATTTAAATTTTGGACGGCACTTTTTTTTGGGGGCTGATTGTCCCTAATATGTGCTTTTTTTCTTTATTCATTTAAATTTTTTCGGGAAATTAAGGGGATTTAAAGGCACGTATTGGGCAAACAGCTGTTATCTGCACTTCACAGCTGAATTTCATATAACCTTTTTTTGCTAATTTCTCTTGCGCATTTAATTTTTTTTTGAAATTTCAGGAGTGAAAAGGGGTTTAAATTTTTACTTGGTTTTTGAACCCAAACTGCTGACTCCCTCTTTTTTTAAAAAAAATTTTGCAACATTCCCTGTTCTTTAGGTCTAAAAATTTCTGGGGGGATGTGTTTTTAAAAAGTTAAAATGTAGAGGCCTTTGGTTTTAAAATTAAAAGCTCAATTTTCTTAAGATGATAACCCTATTTTCAATTTGTGAAAGTTTGCCTTAAAAAAAATTATCAAATGTACGGGGGAAAGGGTTAAAGGAATGTATGAAAATTTTTTTCCCACGTTTAGAACATGGGACAGATTCTCTTCTATTTTAGGCCCAACTTAATAGCCATTTTTATATTACTGTACTCGGGCCAAAGTGTTCTTTTATCATTGAAAAAATGCCTTTTTTTTTATATCCCAAGACGGTAAATATGTTTTGATTTGTGTTTAAAATAATTAAATTTTTGGGATTTAAGGTTTTTGGGTCCCCAAAGCAAAAAAAAATGTATGACAACTTGAAAAAAGCTTTCAGTTTGCAACCCCCTTGATTTTTTGCTAAGTGATTTTTTATTAAATCATAAGACTACCCCCGCCTGCCCTGTTACGGGGTCTTGCAGGGTATGTTTTTTAAATTAGGTAAGGCTTGAGTTTTTTTAACAAATTTCGCTCGTGAAAAATTAATAGGTGAAATTTATATAAAGTGCTTATTTTTTTGTTACTATTGATGTGTACTGTTTTCTTATGTTGTTTTAGTTTTTGAAATTAAAAAGCTGTGAATTTCTTCTTTTTGTTTTCCCTCCAGCTAGTTTTACTGAAGCTGATGGTTTTTGAACTTGCCCTTTTGTTAAAAATCCTTTTTGTATAATCGACTTTTTTTTTAAAGGAATCATTTTATAAGTTCAGTAATTTGTTGGCACCACCCAAGGAGGTACTCCCATCCTCCCATAAAAAGTGTAAAACCGTAACTTTTAAATGCTGTTTTACTCTGGCAGGATTGCTGATTTTTTCCCCTTGAAGAATGTGAAGGAAAAGCAGGTAAAAAATTAAAAATTTTTTCTGTTTGTGGTCAGTCACAAAATCTTTTTCCCTGTTTTGTTTCTTAATCCCGTAGTTTTAATTAAGAAAATATTTTATTTTTCCTTTTCGAGTTTGGGAAGCCCTGAGGGAGGGATGGATGTGTGTCGATGACCCCATGGAAACCAAAAACAAAAAACAGCAGTTTTATAATAAATTTTTGGGAAAAACTATAGAAAGTAGTTTTTCTCATCGTGAAATTTGGGGGCTACTTATTTTAAAAAGCTTTGTTTATTTAAATTCAAAAAATTGTTTTTGCCACTGAGGTACGTGACCCAGAAAAAAAAACACTTTCCCCCAAACTTTAAACCCCCAAACACTGTCCTTGCCAGGTGCACAGAACTGATTTTCAGTTTACAACTTTTTATATGAAAATTGGGATGGTTTTAAAAAGGGAAAATTTTGTGTGCCGGGAGCAAAGCGATTTTTGTGTGTGGTGTGATCATTTGATTATCACTTTAAAGGGCCCCATAACATTTTTGGGGATGTGTGATTATCAGGGTGCTACATTGACAAGTCAAAACTAAACGGGATGTAATTTAAAATAAAAAATGTAACTTCCCCAACTTTTTTCTTAAAAAATGAACCCTTCTTCCATTTCTTCCGTTTGTTTATATAAAAAATTTTGGGTTTTCCCCAAGGAATAAAAGTCCAACAAAAAAACAATGCTTTTTCCCTGCTTAAGTTTAAGGTGTTGGTTGAGATGTTTAAAAGCTTGCCTCTGTATTTATGGGTCTTTTTTTGTCAATAGACCCCGAGGAAAACCAAAATTTGAAGGAAGGCTGAAAATAAAAGGTTGCCCAGAATAAATGGGATTAAGGTTCTGCACTTTCCTTCGGGGTTTAAACTCAGTCAAGAAATCTTGGCCGGGCCTCTTTTTAAATTTTTGGGAAGAAAATAATACGAGCGTAAAACAAAACGGGAATATGTATTTCATTTTTGGTTAATATGGGGTTGCTTATTGGCAAACCCAACCCCCATAAAACCGGGTAAAAAAACCCTTTAAAAAAATTTAAAAATATTAAATTTTTTAAAATTTCCCCTCTTTAACTTTTTTTATACTTTTTTTAAATTTTCCCAAAAAATTTTTATAACCCTCCCCAAGGGGGGGCCCCCCTTGCGTGGGGAAGAGGCTTTGGTCTGGGGGAATTACCCCTGCCCCGGTCTTTCCTTCCTCAGCCCCCAAACCCAAATTTTCCCCCCCAAATTCTCCCCCCCCCTATCCCACCCTCCCCCCACCCTTTCCCCTTTTTTTCCCTTTCCCCCTTCCCCCTCCTCACCCCCCCTTTTGCCCTTTCTTTTTACCCTTTCGTGATTTCTCCCACAAGGCGCGCTATTTTCCCCCCAAATTTGGGGAAAGGGAAAACCGGGGGGGCCCGCCCCCCTTTTCCTTTTGGGGTTTTTCTTGGCGGTGGCGTAGTTTGGGGTGGAATCTGGTTTGGGTTTGGTTTTCCCCAAAATTTTTTCCTTGGGTATCCCGGATTGCTTTGGGTGTTTTTGGGGCGCGGGTGTATCTCGGGAACCCCCTTTTGGGTTTCCGGGGGGGGTTGGGAAGGGGTAGGCATTTTTTGGCGGAACCCCGGGGCCGCCCCCCTTTTGCCCACCGGGGTAGCTCGGCAATGTGGGGTTCCCTATCCCGTTCGGTTTCCCTGGAAAGGGGGGTAGGGTATGGCACGGTTCCAGGGCTGCATCTGCGCTACTAGGGGTTTGTCGAGTCCTCTGGGGCGGAGGGGATTTCCGGCCCTTTCATTCCTCCGGGGAACCCAATTCCTCCCCGCCCCCCCCCCTTTTTTTTATTCTTTTTTTTTTTTTTTTTTTCTTTTTTTCTTTCTTTTTTTTTCTTAAAAAAAAAAAGAAAAGGAGAAAACCAAACCCCATGGCAGCCCTATTCCTAAAACCCAAAAACCCCCCCGGCCCCCTTTCTTGATACCGCCCCCATTCTCCCCTTTGCCTTGTGTTTAGACCCCTCTTCGGACACCCCTTTGAGGCCCTGTCCCTCTTGTGGTGCTGTTTCCCCTCACCCCCCTTTCGGGTCCCGGGGGGCCTTTCGACTGACCCTTCGATTTGTCTAAAACTCCCCCTCTCCTTTGCCCTAGTTTCCGGGCTTCTCCCCAAACGGTAAGAAATTTTCGAATCCCCCACCCCTTTAAGCCGGACCAACTCCGGGTCCTACCCCTAAACGCCAACGTAAACTCTCCTGATAAAGCTCCACCCGTTCCCTTTTCCCATTTTACCCCGGAAACGACCGCCCCGTCAAGCACCCCCTCTCCCCGCCCCGTTTCGGGCCCACACAATGGACAAAATTTTTTACTTTAAACCAATTTCCCTTCTTTTTCCCTACCTTTTGACCATGTTTCCCAAAGCGCCCCGGGTTTCATTTTGGCAGAGATTTTTTCATTTCACGCTCTCAAAGCGGTACCCCAAACGCCTCGCCTCCAAATGCCCCCAAGCCATGAATCTTTCTCCCCTTTTCAAATTTCGATACTCCCCTATCACTATTGAAAAACATTTTTTCTCTAAATTCTTGTAGTGGTCGTCATTCTGCC